GAGTAGACTATATATTAGGTTAGAGTTAGGTAGAAGTTAGGTTATACTTATATAAAACCTAACCTCTACTTAACTCTAACCTATTTACTAGTGTAATTATTACTAGAATTATTAATAACAGTATAAATTTACTAGAGGCGCAATGTAGAGGTTAAACTAATTAGCTACTACCTAAATTACGTGTAATTAAGGTATTTTATAAAGTACCTATAACCCGAGTATATAACTAATAAGACTACTAATAACTCTAGGGCTAGTAGGTCTTAGACAGTACTCTTACATTAAGAGAATACCCTTTGTACCTACAATGTAACTAGCTATAGGTTATTCCTAAATAACTAGGTTTATCCTGTAACTTTAAGGCTTAACTAGCTGTATGCGTAGTTTACCTTATATTCGGCGTACACAGGCCAAGACGCTATATTTTAGTACCTAGTCTCGCCTATAGACACGAGCTAAAACTAGGCTACTATTAGCTTAACTACAGTAGACTATAGCAGGGTCTTGTATAATAATTATTTTTTAACCCTACCTTAGCAAATTTAATAAATACTATAATAGAATACTTACTTATAATATATATAGAAGCAAGAGCAGTAATAATTATAAGGTAGACTTTAATTAATAGACTACCTAGATACGTACGTATATAAAATATAGTTATATTTCTAAAGTAGAAGAATATTAGGGTTCTTATATAAGAGATCTTAAAGTAAAGTTAAAGTAACTACTTAAGTAGTAGTACTACTAGAGCAGAGGCTATAGCGCCTAGAATTACTAATAGAGCAGTAGCTACTCTTACTCTTACCTTAGTTTAAAGAGTAAAAGTAGTTATAGCTCTTACTCTATAAGTTATTTATAAAGTTAGCGTATAAGAGCTTATAGTTATTAAAGTTCCTAATAGTATAGCTACTACTAGACTTACTATAGATATAGTTTAAGTATACTCTATTCTACTAAGAGTTAAGAGAAATACAGCTAGTATAGTAAGGAAACTTATAGGTACTCTTATACATAACTCTGTACCTCTTATACAGCGTAATATTAAAGTATTCTTAAGTATAAAGAATAAAGGCCTTAATATATAATTAGTACTATGTAAGAAGGCGCTTAGTAGTAATCTAGCCTTAGTAAGTAATAATAGAAGTGTTAAGGGAGTTATACAGTAAAAGACCTAAACTATAGATAAAGAAGTTAGCTATAATAGAGATCTTAATGCTCTATAATATATTAGCTAAGGTAAATTAGGAGGTATATATAGACGTATAGTAAAGGTAAAGATCCTAGTAAGTATAGCAGCTATAATAGAGTTAAAGATTAGAATCTTCTTATATAAGTTAAGGTTAGGTATACTAGTATAAGTATTACTAGTAAAAGCCTAAACTTAAGTACTATTAAAGAGAGGCTAATAAAGCTAAGGCTTAGCTTAGGCGTATACCTATAAGTAGTAGGCTCTATAAGAGTTAGTAGTAGTTCTAGCACTACTAATAGTAGTATTATAAAAGCTATTATTATTGTAGCTAGGGCCTATATAAGGAAAGTTAAAGGAGTTATTAGCTATAATAATAAAGATAAGGCGTACTTATATATATAAAGTAGATAAAGTAGTAGTAGTAGATATACAGAAGGTTAAGGGAGTAGAAGAAAAGGTTAAAAAGTAAAGGTTTAGTAGAAGTAGTAATATTTTATATTACTTAGTTATACTAAGATAGGCAGCACTGCTTTTTTACTATAATAAATACTTAGTTACTATAGTAAAATACCTATATAAGGTAAAGAAGACTTTAATTAAAATAAGATAAAAGATTAGAGTTATATATAGTAAGCTAAAAAGGTATCTCTACTCTAGAAGAGTAGGTTTTCTACTTCTTAGGCTGTATATAATAGGTAGTTAAGTAATAACTTTATCCTCCTAATTAAAGATATTATCTAAAAGAGGAATACTCTCTATATAAGATAAGCGCTAGTTATCTAATAAAGTAATACTCTTAGTTTAAGGTAAGCGCTAGTCCTAGAGGCTTAAAAGCTAAGATATTACCTACTTCTAGGCCTTATATAGGATAGGAGTTTCTTTTTCTTTCTTAATACCTAGTTTCTACTTAATAGTAGACTTCTTTATAATAGTCTTTTTCTTTTTTATACTAGGCTTCTTCTTAATACTTAGCTCTTTCTCTTTCTTAATTAGAGTATATATAGTAGGTTCTTTAGTAACCTCTTTAAGAAGACTCTCTTTAAAGCAGATATATATTATATATATATTACTCTTTATATCTCTTCTAAAGACTACTTTCTTAACTAGCTTCTATACTATATAAGCCTTCTTTATACTCTCTCTAACGTACGTTAGACTATCTTTAGTAATATCTAATATAAGAGCTTTAGTTAGATAGTTAAAAGACTTATAGCATATAAGTATAACCTTAGTTAAGATATAGTTATTAATAAAGTCTTTAATTCTATTAATAGCAGCATTTACTACTAGAAAGGTTATATAGGCTAGAAGAAGGTAAGTATAAAAAGATTTAACCTATATATAAGACTTACTAATTATTTTTAAAGTATAAAACTCTTTATTACTTCTTTTAGCTATAGTTATATATTAAACCTAAGAGAGAATAACTAAGATATTTAAAGGCTAATTAATCTTAGTATTCTATAGCCTAGATCTAAAAGCCTTCTACTAGCTAAGCATATAACTAGCCTATAAAGTAATAGACTATATCTAAGCTAAGCGTAATACTATATAAGTATAGGTAGTATTAGTATCTTACTATATTAGTAGAAGTTCTACCTTTAAAAGAACCTAAGTTTAAGACTAAAGAATAAATACTACTTTTTAAGAAGCCTTTAGTATATTATTATCTATAAAGATAGATATAGTAGTAGTTAAACCTTCCTATATAAAGGTTCTTTAGGCTAAGAAGAAGGAAGTACTAGAATTAGTATTATTCTTTTTTTTATACTTTATATAGTTCTTTTCTAGAAGTATACTTATATAAGAAGCCTTACTATTACTATAAAAAGGATCTAGTAGCATTATATATAAGTTAAAGAATAAAAAGATAAAGAAGAAAACTTAGGTACCTAGCTTATTTATTATATATATAAGTAGCTATACTAAACTCTATTTTACTTAGAAAGATATAGCTATTTTAAAAGAAATTAGGAAGCCTTAGTAACTAACTAATTTACTTATTCTTCTCTTCCTACTCTAAGAACTCTAACTTATTAGTAAAGTCTACCTTACGTATAATACTAGCTTTAGTAGAAGGTAGCTATCTTAAGTTAGTATATACCTACTACTAACTCTATATATATATATACCTTCTAATTAAAATTACTAATAGAAGTAATATATAAGTTTAGAATTAGTTTTACCTTAGAGTTAATATACCTTTAAGCCTATTATCTTAACTTAAGATACTTCTTTTAAAATAGCTCTATATATTACCTTATAGAATCTATTTTAGTATTATAGATATTAAGCTTTAGTTTAGCTAGCTATATTATATACTATTAAAGGGTATCTACTAGAAGATATTTATCTATATCTTAAAGAGAATTCTATTACTATAATTCTTTAAGTTACCTTTTATTATACAGTATACTATAGTCTTATATACCTTCTAAAAGGTAGTAGTATAGCATAAATAGTTTACTAATAACTATACTTAGATAACCTTTCTACTTTCTAATTCTATATAAGTTTTATATACGTACGTAGAAGAAGATCTCTACTTAAATAATTAGAAGGTAGATTATAAGTATTACTATATAATCTATAAGTCTTACCTTAGAAAAAAGATTATCCTTTTATAAAGAATAAAAGAAGGTCTAAAAGAGTATTTTAGCCTTACTATATATATAGAAGAAGAAGATATACCTATTAGTAAAATATTAATCCTTTTAATAGGTATCTCTATTATAATTTAATTCTTTAGTTTACTATACTTATACTATATATATAGTAATTCTTAAACTAAAGGTTTAGGTCTTCTACTTTAGTAAGTATAAACTATATATACACTATTATAGTTATTTTAACTCTATAGTTAGATTATATAAACTAGAAGTATATACTAGTGCTCTCTACTATCTAGAGAAACTAATATATAATACTAATAACAGTTCCTACTAAGATACTAATATAGATCTAAGTAATATACCTTAAGTATATATTAATACCTATATATATCTTAATTCTATATAGCTTAAGTTTCTTATACCTATTAATAGACTATACCTAGTTTAGACTAGGTATAATATACTCTCCTTTCTTCCTTTATATATCTTTATAGCACTATATTACTTCTTTAGAGTTAATTGTATAGTATACTCTAAATAATTAATCTTAGAATATAAAATAATATCTTTACTTAAGATAAAGGTAAAGAAACTGTTATTTATACCTATTAATAGGGCTATTCTTTATCTCTTTCTTAATTAAGCCTTATATAAGTATATTAGTTACCTCTTAGTTCTCTTTTCTATCTATCCTTTTTTTTAACCTAAGTATAAGTCTTAGGTGTATAATAGTATACTTCTTTATCTAATAACTTTCTTTTTATAGAGTTATTATAATCTCTATATCCTTAAAGCTAACTTTAAAAAAAAGTAACTATATTTTAGCCTTAACCTGCTCTTTAACCTCTGCTAGAAGCCTTTTACTTATATTCTATCTCTTTATCTAAGTCTTTAGTGTACGTATACTAATAATAATATAGTAGGTATCTATAATCTATTATTTTAGTTACTTATATATTACTCCTTTACAGAATAACCTAATAAGCTTATCTTTATAAGGAGATAGGTTAATTATAGAGCGTCTAGCTAGTAATATTATTAAAACTACTATATAGGATAATAATTTTATTATACTAGGTATCTTATTTAGGTATTAGGCTTGTATGTAGTAAATTAATGTTTGTAGTGTTTATTAAATTTGCTAAGGTAGGGTTGAAAAATAATTGTTGTACGAGACCCTACTATAGTCCACCGTACTTAACCTGGCTAGCTAGTATCTAAGCCTGCAACCTATTTCTACACCAATCTAACTATTTCTACAGTAAGATTATGTGCCGACTGAGACAACAGCTTTAATAAAGTGCTGCATTGCAACAAGAACAAGGTACTAACAGTTGATAGGTATGCAGATAGCAGAATTGCGCAGTTAGCCTTGAATGGACCACTGTGTAGCAGCTGCTACCGATGAGGAACCGAATTCTTTGGACTAGCAAATCGTCCCAGTAGAAAGCTACGAATCCCGATGGTACTATGGCTCACGGCTTGTGCAGGAGCGTTAGGACCGAGGACCCGTCGATGAAACTTACGACTCTCGATATCGAGGATCCGACCAACGATCACGCAGTCCCATCCGTTGGTCTGTTGTTGAGGAATATGCAAGATATCTCGTCTATCAAAGGCTTTGAGGGCGAGTACGTGGACCGCGGCGGCGTTCTTCATATCAGCCGCACCCTCGGCGATGACGAAGTGAACGCAGCCGAGCACGCGAAGACATCTGGCGGCATTCCAGTTGATCTCCGGCTTCACGAGGCCCAGACAACTGTTCGTATGATTGCCGAGCGAGTTGGCCAGATAGACTCGCTCCATCACGTCGAGGTCGACTCGAAGGAGCTGCCGTTGGCCAGTAACAAGGTCAAAGTAGAGCACTTTGCCAACACTCAACTTTAAATATATTGCCGTCACCATGGGTATCATGCCAGAGAACAATCACCTGCTGGGCCTCGAGGGCGCAGGAATCATCTGCCGCATCGTCACGAAGCTTAACACACCCTTCCACATTAGGTAGCGCATGTTGGTGTTTGAGAAGGGCACGTTTGCAAGTCGTATTATCGCCACCACCGAGCGTACAATCGCCATTCCAGAGTTGCTGTCCTACGAAGAAGCTGCGACACTCCCGTCTGTGTACCTAACAGCACTGTACAGTCTGTTCGACCTGGCCAACCTCAAGCAGGGAGACCGCGTACTGATCCATTCCGCCACAGGAGGTTTGAGTATAGCCGCCATTCAAATATGCCAGGCGGTAGGAGCCACGGTGTACGCCACGGTGGGACAAGATGTCAAGAAACAGTTCTTGAGAGATACCTTCAGTATCCCAGAAGAACATGTTTACATTTCGAGGCCCAGCTCATGATCAGCACGGACGGATATGGTGTTGATGTCATTCTCAACTCGCTCACCGGAGACTTGCTCGATGCGTCGTTGCGTCGTAGCGCTGTATCGCCGAGGGCGGGACCATGGTCGAGTTGGGCAAGAAAGACCATATTGATCGCAATACGCTTTCCATGGAGCCTTTTGCTCGAAACGCTTCTTATCGTTGCTTTGATATGTCGCATAAGCATGTTTCCGACGAAGTCATTGCCGGGTAAGTCTTTCTTTTCTCATCCCCCTGGAACCACGACTGACTAATATTCTCCAAACTTATGCGCAAGATGATGCACATGATAGTAACGCGTGGAGTCAAACCACTCTCCTCCATTCAACTCCTCCTATACAACGATATCCCCTTCACCCTCCGTTTCGTGCGGAGCTCAAACCACATCGGTAAAATCATCATATCAAACAAAGGGTTCGCGGATACGGATCCCATTGTCTCCGTTAGTCCTGCTTTGAAGACGCTGCAGCTCCACGACGACCTATCGTACCTCTTTGTGGGTGGACTCAAGGACCTGTTGGATCCATGGCAGTCGACATGGCTTGCCACAGCGCTCGCAATGTCGTCGTCATTGGCAGGAGCGGCTACGATGATCCCAGGTCTCAAGCCGTGCTGAAAGATCTTGCCGCCGAAGGCTGCCACGTAGATCTGGTACGCGGCGACGTAGCCAAGGTCGAAGACGTTCGCAATGCGTTCAAGTACGCTACAAAAGCCTGTTGGAGGTATGGTTCAGGACGCCATGGTGCTTCGCGATAAGCCCTTCGAGACCATGACACTCAAGGAGTACCACGGGGCGATTATTTCCAAAGTTGCCGGGTCTTAGAATCTGCACAATGTTGCTCTGGAAATGGGTCTCAAGCTCGAGTTCTTCACGATGCTGTCCTCCATCTCAGGTCTCACTGGACAGCCTGCACAAGCCAACTACGCAGCCGCCAACGTCTTCCTGGACAACTTCGCGTACTACATGCGTGGCCTGGGCCTGAAAGGTGATATCGTCGACCTCGGCCTTATTGAAGATGTCGGATACATGGCCGAGCATTTCAATCTGATCACGGCGCTAGACACTTCAGCCTGGACGCCTATTAACGAATCCATCTGCCACAAGATCGTGCAGTTCAGCATCATGCAGCAAGAAGACACTCCAATCAACCAATCCTCCTACCGCAGTTAATCACATCCATCGCCGTGCCGCAGGCCTCATCCTCGCGTTCGCTGACCGATGCGCGCTTTTCATCACTACTGTTCGGCACCTCACCGGCAGCAGTGTCGCGGACGCTTCTGGAGCAAACAAAGAAATTCAGGCGCTATTAAAGACGATCAAGACTGGTGCTGATGTGCATGTCGCGCTGACGCTGGCTTTCGACGTCGCGAACAAGCAGTTCATGACGACGCTGTGCGTCGATGAGCCTCTTGAACCCGCAAGGCCACTGTCCGCATACGGGCTGGATTCGCTTGCTGTTGTTGAGTTCAGGAACTGGTTTCGTGTTCAGCTTGAGGCTGATTTGACGACATTGCAAGTCACGAGTGCGCCGAGCTTGTTGAGTTTGGCGGAGAAGATTGTTGTGAAAATTCAGGCGGCTAATGTGGCGAAGTAGGGGGCGGATTAGAGGAGGTTACGATGGGATGGTGTCGTGGTTGGAAGAGTTAGGTTGATACTTGTTTTTTCTTTTGCGCGTTTTTGCAATCTGTGGAGCTGTAGATAATAGATCTTTCGCATTTGACAAATTTCTTCAGATACCTCTTGATACTGTACTCCCTGATCTGCTTTGAAGTACCTGTGCATCCTGTCTCACATGAATCACAGCGTATTCCTGGTTGTCTATCCTGACTGTTTGACTATGGCAAGCAACAGCGAGTGCAATGGCCAAACCGACTCTTCCAAAGCAGTGAGGTAAACAGATATGGAAAAACCTTTCCAAGAATAATCACAAGGTGTGAACGAAGCTCATACAAAACTCACTGTCTGAAACGTCCTTAATGGTGCCTAGGTTGCGAATGACTAATTTTATCCTATTGCTACCTACGATGCCAAACTACATGACCCGTCCCGTATCGTTCTGAGAGGCACATTTCGATGTGTTCATAATCATAGCATCAAGACAGAATGCCCACGTTTAAATCAAACGTTCTATCTCACCAGGGGTAGCGGCGGTCAATTGTCTCGTTGAAGAATTGTTCAGAATGCTCCTGCTTTATGGCACTGTCAATCTAGAGCCATGTTAGCCACAGTCGCTGGTGTAGAAGATTTCCTGTTTTGCTCCAACTCACAATGTACGCAGTGTTCTTGCTGCTGTCCCCCAGGGTGAGCGGTGCTTTCTCCAAACCGAAAGCGCGTGCTCCCATGTTACCCATGTCTGTTTGAACGAGGCTATTCGCAAATTAGCTAAACTTTCGTGGTGCAAGACAATTGTTAGGCTATCTTACCCAGGATGGATGCACAGGGTGATCAGCCAGTCGTTTTCCATACCCATCTTGCGGACAATGACGTTCGCGAGAGCCTTGGAACCGGCATAGCTGATGTTGGGGTAGGGAAATTCGGGCATGTTGTTGATACTGCCACCAGCAGCGCTGATGAAGGCGAAGCGGGCTGAGTCGGACTTTTTGAGTAAGGGCAGGGTTGCCTTGTACAGTATCATGACAGAGATGGCATTGACCTGGAGGGCGTTTTCGAACTCTTCAAGCGGCACATCAGCTACGGTGTTGAGCGGCGCAATACCAGCGCTGGAGATAACGATATCAATCTTGTCGATGCCTTTGACGGCCTCGTAGGGGTCTGTCTTCGACGTTGAGTCGATCTTGACGATGATGACTTTGGTATTCTCGCCTTTGGATACACTGAGCAGGCCTTGAGCACCGACAGTGTCGCGTACAGCCGCAATCAGGGTGTTGTTTGGCTGTGCGACATAATGGTCGAACATGCCACGGCCGATGCCTGCAAAGTCGGTCAGGTCAGTAATGGACTTACGGATGGGAGTGAGGTCAGGCGAACGTACCGCGGTTAGCTCCCGTGATGAGATAGGTCTTTCCAGGCATGTTATCAGATACGTTGCTGGTGTGTTAAGAATAGCATGCACGTTGCACTCGGGAACAGTCGGTTTTAGGGGTTTGCAACCATTGTCATGATACAGCTGTTCGTCCGTGGACTGAGCGGTCACTTGAGGCTGCACGGTCAGCCTTGTCTGGCAGGAAGGCACCGAGCAGACAATGATTTCCATTTTAGGCAAACCCTGTGCCGCCATTTCTAAGCAGCATGCTACAGCTGCAACTACACTGCTTTGTCCCAACGGGTCTCTTTCACTCTGTCACCACGACGCGATCAGCATTGGTGGATGTCGAAGTAAGCTGCTTATCTTTCCGGCTGCCGATTGGCTGCGACAGCGTCACCGTGTCAGCATGCCGTCCGCTTACGCTGGACCAATCAGCGACCTGTAAGCGTTGTGGATACGGCATACTCGAACGCAACTCTATGCACCTCCAGTCATGCGTTCTTACAGCAGCGCCCGTAGCCGTTCGAAACCTTGGGATACAATATGTCTGTACGAACGGGCTGCGGTTGAGACAAGCCAGAGATCGGCACCTACGCAGCTATGGATCAACTTCCGCGGAGCCTTACACCCTGAACCTACGGGTAGATTGGCTTTTGTCTAGCGTGTTGCTTACGCTGTACGTCCTTGGTATCTCTATCTACCGTATCTTTTTCCATCCTCTCCGAAGAGTTCCAGGTCCCAGGCTTGCTACATTGACCCAATGAGTGAAAACGTATTATGAGTGCTTCAAGGCGCCCGGAGGGCAATTCATGTGGGAGTACCAGAAATAGCACGAGAAATACGGTATGTAGAAGCGGTCCAGAAAGCAGCGACTTGCTTGCTCACCACGTCTCTTGCAGGACCTATTGTCCGTGTTAGCCCCAATGAAGTTCACATCCAAGATCCCACCGTCTACGATACACTGTACTGTCAATCTCGTCACTCGGACAAGCTCAAGCATCTCAAGCACCGCTTCAACAGTGAGACGTCCTCGTTTGCTACCACTGAGCATAGCGTTCATCGTGTCCGTCGCGGCGCCCTCAACCCTTTTTTCTCCGAAAGAAAGATTACTCAATACTCGCCCCAAGTCCAAAATCACTTGGATCGCCTCTGCAATCGCAACGAGTCCGAGTTTGTCGGTAACGGGATTACATTGAATCTGAACAAGATGTGAGGCGCCTTTGCCTCGGATATCGTCGTCGGATACTGTCCCGAGAAGCCTTACGACTTCATCCTGAACCCTGACTTTCGCGCCCAGTTCTCTGACGCCATGTATGCTATAGCCTTGTTTTGGAATCAAACTTCCAGCATGACTAATGCTCTGCAGGGTTGACCTCCTCGACCCCATTTATTTCATCACTCAATTTCCATGGACGATCAAGTCATTGAAGTTGCTTCCAGACTGGCTCGTCGTGCTGCTGTCTCCACCAATGTGGTCTGTCATGACCTTCAACAAAGAGATGGAGACACGGATCAAGCATGCCAAAGCCGCATATGCCTCTGGAGAAAAGAATATGGCCATCCCATCTCTGTTCACAGCCTTGCTTGAATCCGACCTTCCACCGACCGGGCTCTCAACCAAGCGTCTGCAGCACGAAGCCATCTCTGTAATTGGCGCAGGTATTAAAACAACAATGTACACACTATCAACTTGCTCGTACCATCTGATAGCAAATCCCCAAACTCTGGGCAGGCTGTGCGCCGAACTGGACTCAGCAATTCCCGATCCAGATCATCTCCTGGATCTCGACACGTTAATGCAGTTACCATACTTGACCAACGTCGTCAACGAAGCCTTACGCTTCGGCTACGGCATATCCCAGCGTATCCCCCGCCTCTCATCAACACCCATGGTCTATCACACCCCTGAGGTAGACTATCAGCTCCCTGTCGGCTCCATCGTGAGCATGGACCACTATACCGCCTCTGACGATCCGAACTTGTTTCCTGATTCTTTCGCATTCCAACCCAAACGCTGGGAAAATAAGGCAAAGGCGCCCGATGGAAAGTCGCTGACCAGGTACTTGGTTGTGTTTGGCTGTGGTACAAGGAGCTGTGTGGGCATGCAGCTTGCGTATGCAGATCTGTACATTGGTATTGTGAGCTTTTTTAGACGCTTCGAGTGCACCCTCTTTGAAACAGAGCGCGATGCTGTTGATCTTTATCTCGATAGCTTTGTCCCACGTGCTAAGCCGGGAACACGGGGAGTTAGGGTCCATGTGCAGAGAAAGCGCAGAGATTTTCAACTACGTATAGGCCTATAGGTTGTTTGGTTTAAGGCTAGTAAAAAGAAATCTTGCAAAAACATATAGACATGAAGTGTATATCATAAGAAAATATTTTTCCAAGATATATTATTTATTGTTTGCAGCAAAACATTGCAACAGTTGAACAACTATCTCTAAGATCAGTTTATACCAGTTGCCAAATCGGTAGATACTGTGGCGCCTCAAACCCCACCTGTTCGACCTGTTTGTGACGGAGCCAGGCCTCTGGTACTTCCTCCCTGGACTTCCCAATTTAATGGCCTGTACTATCATTAATTCGGGCGGACCTTTGGTTCCTCAAGAAACTCGATTACTAGAGATTTATCCCTCTAAGATTGATAGCAATTCTATCGAATGCCGGTGTTTCCGCGTCGGTTTGGACGACGAGTCTCAGTGCGAAGCGCTTTCGTATGTATGGGGCGATGCAACGAGGAGAACCGTCATCACATATGATGGGCTATCTATATCGGTGACGATGAATCTGTCCGACGCCTTGAGTATGCTACGCCTCCTGTAGACGTCTCGCATCATATGGGCAGACGCAATCTGCATCGACCAGGATAACTCCAACAAAAAGAGTTGCCAGATACCTCTTATGAACAGGATATATTCCATCGCCACCAAAGTCGTTGTTTGGCTGGGAGACATCGATTCTGAACAAGCTACAGAAGCTTCTAGATGTGTGAAGCTGATTGCGAATCAATGTAGAAAATCCCAAGAAGAAGGTGGATTAGGCGAGGCCAGCACAGGCGTATACTTTACAATGCAAGTACCAAGCAGTGAATTTGGAAAAGCTGCGCAAGAGAGCTTGAGGCTTTTGTATGCTGAGCCTTGGTTTCCAGAGTTTGGTGTATCTAAGAAACCAAATTGGCCAAGTATGCAGTCATGCTATGGGGGAGACATAAACTATCATGGGCAGATGTTGGACTGGCAGCAACTTGGCTATTTCACAGCGTGCCTATAAGAGCTATTGAATTTGACCAAGAGGCTTTCTATGCAGACATCGACAAGACGAATGCACACCACATGTTGGAACTCAACAAAAACAACACGATCTACTTGTCCTACTTGTCCTACTGGATCTTCGCTGGTCCTTCAAAGCAACCAACCCTCGAGATAAAGATTACGGGGTCCTTGCCCTTTTCTATCCAACGAAGAAATCCAGAACTTTGTGTGTGAATTACGACAGGAATAATACCGTTATAGCGTGAAATCGATCACCTTCGGCTCTCACAGCACTCGCACACATCGATCACGGCTTCGAGTATTGCAGGAAGAAAGACTTTACATCTTAAACCCTACGGTGGGATATTGACGTCGGACTGGGGTGTCTACTGGCTGATAATTCACTGCTGAGTGCTTGCCGGAACATGCCCGTGACATCTTTGGATGCCCATAGTTCAAATCCTGAGCATTTTCGACTGAACAGGTTGTATTATAGCAAAATATTCCATGTTCACGTTGAAATGAACATGACCAGCCTACTATTTCACAAAGGGCACCCTTTCATAGGGATATGTATTACCGTAGTAGAGCAGCCGGTCATGGACGACCATGAACGTATGCAGACAACGCGTATCCTAACCCGAACTTGGACGGCTAGATGTTGTAGCATGATAGGGATATTGTATCTGCAAGCGCAAACGATAGAACTATATGTTATAGTAGTTTTCTGGCGTTCCTGTACACACTGGCATTCAGACGTGATCAAGAACATGTGATGAAGTGTACTGTGGTCCCCCCTTGAAGTATAAGCCATTCGCCACTTTGACTTTTGGCGGGACGTAACCCAATTAGATGTGGCGAATGGCTTATACCTCTAGGGGGGACCACAGTATGTCGACCATGGATTAATTATACGCCGAAGCGGAAGTGGTTCGCTCAGAGCAGAGACTGTCTAAGGGAATCTATATCAAGTCGTATTCAATGTTCTCATGACATCTTCTAATATCTCTATTTGTTCCTGTCGATACGCACAAGCACGTCGTTGCTGCTCATTTTGCGGGGTTTTGAGTAAGCGTCCTTGCTTTTTCATAGTCTGCAGCATTCCCCGTATGTGACGAACTAAATACTCGACTGTTGCTTTCTTTAGGCGTTCTGTTGGCAACTTGGTTGGATTCTCTCGAAGAGCCACGCGTTCGACGAGATTCGCTACACGGAATGACACCATGGATACAAGCTGCGGATGGAAGTGCGACAAGTCAGGCACTTCATGATTAGGTTGAAGAGGCCCACGAGGATCCCTTGTTGGAGAGCGAATGGAAACCAGAGCAACGTAGGCGTATTCGGCAGAGGAGTAGCATTCTTCGACCGTAGAAGCCAGGCTAAAAACGCTATGGGAGGGATGCATCACTATAGTTGGGTCGAATGGAAAGGTCAAGGTGGCTTCACAGGCCTCATTGTTGGGTATGATGAAGCCGAAATCTCGAAAGACTGTGAAAGCTGTTGTCAGCTCTGGTTTTTAGTGGCGGGAAAGACATGATTATACTGACGGACTGTGTTGTTGAGCCTTTGACCAGCTGTATCATATGGATAGCATATCTCTTCCCCTGGCTGCATCTCGAAACTCTTGGCTATGGCAAGGCCTTCTTTGTCATAATGCCAGTCAGACGGTCCTTCCTGAACATGGTTGATTCCGTCAAGCAGGGGCAACAGAATACGAGGTCCATCATCAGAAGAGATGCCATCCTCAAAAAGTGGCTTGTATTCAGGTTTCAAGGAAGCTGCATCTCCTGCCAATGCGACAGACGGGAATTGTCGCGACGTAAAACAGAAATCGGCCCACATAAACAGTTCGCTGTGGCCAGATTAGCGAACCAATAACACAGCAATATTTGGAGATGCAACCAACATTGTGTATCCTGAGATATCCCAGCCTGCTTGCTTTAGGACATTCATGGCTTCGTGCCAGCGATTCTTTAGATGTTTCCTACGATCCTTGGTTGCTTCTTCAAGATGAGTTCCCTGTAGCCAAACAGTGTCTTCTTTGTTCCAAAGCAAAGGGATCGCTGGCTGTGAAGAGGTATCTGGTTGTGGAAGAACTTGGATGTATCTGTCATATGCAATTACTATTTTAGTACTCTGACTTCCACAAAGTGACGGAAGAGACTTACGGGTGCCAAAAGCTGTCATTGCCGAGAAGATATTGTTGCACAAGAAATATGTTGCCAATTGTTTCGTGGTCTGCAGTTGACTGCAGAAAAGCTGCTGGCAAAGGCTTGCTCCTTGGCACGTAGTGGGACCCCTCGATACCAGCAGTGATGGCATTGAAGTAGGATAAAGATAGACAATAAGGCATGCGTAGCAATACTGCGTTGGGTTCTACTGTCTGGCTGTCCATCTTTACAGACACAGTACCACCACCGCCTGGACTAGCGTGAAACTCACATGACGGATGAATGAAGGCGCCGTTGTTGATTGCCCACTCGACAAGCTCACGGTACTCTTGGTTCACGAACAATGTTTGGTCCCTGAAGTCGTTGCAGATAGTCCTAAACGACATGTTCGTGTGCGGAGTGAGCAAAAAAATGCCCGGACAAGAAAACAATGGACTCGTTGATTACTGGTAAAGATTAGCTGAGTGTCTTCCATGTGTATGAGATGTGGTTGCTTACTGACTGCCTTGGAAGCCGCTCTACTGGTGCTTGTTTACACTATAGCTTACGAGGTAATGATGTTGCGTTGAATGTTGGAAAGTCGTTGCGGGTGGTTTATATCGAGATACAGACTACCACAGCTTATACCAAAAGTGGATTTTTATGCAACCAAGGTATCGGGCATTTAGTGGATAGCTCATTCAATTGACTTGACCAGCTGTAACGGACTTTGGATGTGGGTCTACTGAGGTGCGCATTAACGAAAAGACACCATGGTCCTTAGCGCATCCCTTTTATGGGTCCCAGGCGTGGCGTACCAGGATGTGCTATCATGCGTTTCGTCGATCAGATCGCGCAACATGTTTGTGAATGGAGCGGTGACATCGATTTAATACGACAAAACAGTTTCTTTTCGAAGAAAACGAACAACCTGTCTATAAAAGTATCACTCGATGCTGCTTGGGATGCGGCATTACCAAGTAAGCTTAGCAGTGTTTACTGCGGAACCCCACAGCTGTGGACGTTCACCTTAAGCGATGATCATGTAAACTAAGCGCCTAAGGGACTTCAAATCGACGAACACTAGCATGCATAGCCCCACTTAAATCCTCATGTAAGTGCGACATTCACAATCTGCTGGCGGGTTGTGGATTAAAATATGCTATGATAGCGTCATGCATACTATCAACGTGATGGTCACTGCAGTGCTCAACTCGATGCAGTGCCATCTGCATACTAGTAAGGCAGGATGAAGCCTCGTGGTATCTGATACCCTGTCTGAACTCAAAATTCCGGCTTCTCTTGATTGCTCCCAATTTGGAACAGTCCAAACAAATCACACGTGGATGATGCGCTAAAGCTCAGGCAAACATAGATAAAAAACCTACATCTACCTTGGTAGTCATTACCCCTATCCCTCATCTCTGCCAAAACAACAATGGTGAACAGAAGTACACAAGCGTGGCAAGGCTCAGCTTATTTTCTCCCTTGCGACAACGAGGAATCTCATCGGTACGCTTAAAAAGACTATGTTCTAACTTCCACTCATATCATCACAGTCTCTCTCTCCAACATGAGTTTATTACCCGCACACTTTCAGGCTCGCTCCTCCTACTCCCCAAGTCCTTCATCTCCAACTTAGATTCTGAGGATACCAAGGTCCTCGATGTAGGCACTGGTAACGCGGTGTGGCTCTCTGACTTCCATTCCATGATTTCCTCCACCGCACAGCTTGTTGGGATCGATATCGAAGGCAGAATGTATCCCGCCAAGTACCCACTACAAATGAGCTTCGAAGTCGGCTCCGTCTTGTCATTGCCCACAAGCTGGTCAAACAGCTTCGACTTAGTGTACCAGCGTCTCCTCCTCGCCGGACTCAAGATTTCGGATTGGCCAACTGCCATCTCGGAAGACTTTCGCGTACTGAAAAGTGGAGGGTATGTTCAGCTTGTCGAGGTTGACTTGCGCAATATGGACGTCGGACCGAATTCTGCACGCCTGCTTGACACCCTCAAGAAGCTGTTCGCTATGAACAACATGGACCTCAACCAAGCAGATTCCTTGCCTTCTCTTGTTAAGGGAGCTGGCTTTGTTGATGTACAAGTGCATGACAAAGAATGGAGATTACATGGGGATTCAAACGTACTATCGAGAGAGAATGCTCTCAGAGGCCACAGAGGCCTTAAGGGTCCGGTCGTCAAGTACGGCTTGTTTAGCTCCGACGCTGAATTTGACGATATGATGACTGGAGTGGAAACGGAATGGAAGTCTACTCTTGGGAAAGCTTTGATTATACGTGTCATTACAGGCAGAAAGCCATAGAGATCAATAGCAGAGAGAATGCAGTCTTCCTATTAGCTAAAATCTCGTCTCTCCATTCACTCCGTGAGGGAACACTCTCGCATATCGCTCCCTGATCAATTGTTCCTTCTCCGCAGACCGAGGTTTTGCGTCACATGTAAATGGTTTCGGTGCAAGCTCAATACCAGGCTGGAGGAGATTAACGTTAGCATTGATGGGAATGCAGGAAGAGGATAGAGACTTACCTTTGCATACGAATCAATATCCTGGCCACCAGTTCCAGAACCATCCTTTTTGAAGTTGAATGCCCAAAGCAAATTCATAGTGTTCAGTGTGATAGTCCGACGAGCCATAGACTCTCCTGGACAAATTCTTCGGCCAGCCCCAAATGCCAAGTTGTTCCGATAGCCTGTCACATCGACACCCTCTTTTGTACCAAACTCCGTCTTGATAAACCGCTCTGGGTCGAACATCTCTGGTTCGTCGTAGAACTTTGGATCGTGATATAGACCATAGCTATTCATAAAGATCATAGAGTTTTCGGGGATACAGTAGCCGTTATAATGAAGTTCCTTAGTGTTAACATGAGGAATTGCGATCGGCAAAATTGTTCTGAACCGGAGAACCTCATCGGCAATGGCGCGAATGTACGGAACATTCTCATAATCATCCAACCCTGGCCAGCGGTTATGACCAACAACACTGTCAATCTCAGCTTGCCCTTTCTCCTGGACATGAGGGTTGTTGATCAAAGCCAGGATAAACGACTGTAGAAAAGAAGCTGTGGTTTCGGCTCCTGCGTCCATCATGACTGCACCCATGCCAATGACCTCATCACGGGTCATACGAAGTTTCTCTTGATTCAGGATCAAGGATTCCAGGTAGCAGCCAGTAGTCTTCTCGGTCTCAATCGCACGCACGCATTGTGCATGTAGAGAACCATAAAGCTCGTCTCGAATTCCACGTGTTGTGTCGGCAAGTCGTTTCCAGTACGCCCAGCGCTTAGGTACGTATTGCAATGGCCAAAAAAGATCAACTGGAGGGTGGGCACCGGGATCAGTGACTTCATTAAGAAGTTTCACGCCTCGAAAATAAGTCTCTGCTGGTGAGTTTGCATAGCTCGTGATTCGCGAACCATAAAGCAGCGTAATCATGACAGACGCAGTCGTACGACAGATGTGAGTGAAAATATTTTGAGGATCTTCCAGAATGTCGTGCATAAATTGCGTGTATTCGGCTTGTTGTGTTTGTAGGTGTTTCTTCAAACTATCCTTCGTCAAAAACGTGTGAATTGCATGACGGCCATGCTTCCAAACTGAATTTTCCATATTTTCGAGAGCCATAAGAGAGCCATTGGTAACACGCTGGACGAGCACAGAACGCGGGCGGTTCCCAGTATGAGCCCCGTTGCTGTCAAGAATATGCTTCACAGCTGCGGCGGAGGAAATGACAACGACAGTACGATTTAAAATCTTGAGAGAGAAGATATCGCCATACGTCTGAGCCCATTCCGAGAACCTACGAAGGTAAGCGCGAGTACCTTTTAAACGTGACTTTGACTCACTTAACATGAGGGAAGCTGGTTGGGAAGTCCAGTGCGTTTCCCAAGACTGGAGTTGTCTTTGGGCCTGGTGGGAAATCTTTTCCCCTGCAGCCGATCGTGCGAACCTTGAGAACGAGAAGTACCACGAGCACAACAACTCCGATTGCAATGTTGAACATTGAGACGTCTGCGAATGATAGGCCGATCAACCCTGGTTTCGTTGTGTTGGCCATGTTTATTGTATTTCAAAGCTTGTCAATAAAGTGAAGACGGAAGTTGGGACTGAATTGTTTGTCACGCAGCGTCTTCAACTTAGATATGAAACCGCACTACGTTGTCTTTTCCACCGGCGAGAGGCGATAGTGTCATGCAATCAATACAGCATGATTAGTGGTCTTTTTGGGTGGGACTGGATGATCCCCGACACTATTCCGATCACATCTCTAGATTCAACATACGCTAGGAATGGAGATATCCTCAAGACTAGTAAGGTTAGACTTCCAATTTAATCGAGCGGATAAGACCTGAAAAGGCCAAGTAACTAGTTAGTATGCCATCGTATCGCTGGATACATCACCCTCCAATCGATCCATAGGCACTGCATGACTCTCACATGAATCTTACATCCACACGGTGCGGATCTTCGCAGTCGACTCGTCGCCGAGGCTAAACTTCTGCCTATACGCTGCAGTTTCGTACTTCTTCTTGATCGGCAAGCAGACCTTGGCGACTGAGGGCAAGGATTACTCTCGGCCGTACCGTGGCGTTATGCGCTGTTACTTCATGGCTAGTGTTATTTAGTTGATTTTCTGTGTCCAAAACAGGACTTTCGACCTCTTTCGGTGCCTACGGATCTCCAAGACGACATCTATAACGCGTATACCTGCATGTCGCTAGAGATGTTTAGTGTACTATTCACTCACCCGGTAAAAGGACTAGCGAGGTCCATTCAAAACGTCATGCATGGTACCTGCGTCTCCATCAGATTTGTGGCTGGTTTCAGAAACCAATGGAGAATAATTAATCACGGTGATAATGATTGACATGCTCATTTGCGGAAATGCGAGTGATTAAGCATCATTACGTAGTCATGCTGTACTATCAACCCTTCATCGGGAACAACTCAACCCAACGATTCATCCTTGTCTCCTGTGATCCAGCCTTAGCGCCAAAATACCTCTGACTGTCAAGCGAAAACTCGACATTAGCCTCCACCCAATCCATCAACCCGAGGGCGTATTCATGTAACACTTTGTTCTGCTCTGGTCTGTCAAATACGGGAAGGTTGTTGAAGTCATCCAGAAGTGAGAGGAAAAGCTCGCGATAACTAGCTCCCACAACGTTCATAGCATCTTGTACTCCTTTTTGACGTTCACGCATCACTACGTCGACGATGTTATGAGCAACGCACTTCTGGCCTCCCGCTTGTTCAACATTGTAGCTGTAGATGTCGTTGGCAATGATAACCAGATCCCCTGTGACAATACTCATTCTCTTCACAACTTCGTGCTCCGCGACTTCATCCGAGAGGTTGAAGGGGATATAAATGAAGTCGAAGGAGGGTAAAAGGCCTCCAGTACGACGACGAAGGTCAAAATGCTCTCCACGATCACGGAGACGACCTGTCTCGCGATCGCGGGCTTCTTCGGGGAGTGAATCGAGATAGGAAATGAAGTTTCGCAAAAACCGAGCCTTCGTAGCTGGAGGGGGTTTGAGATGCTCCACGACGCTTTTCAACCATCTGCAAAATGTTAGGATACCATCATATAATTTGTTGGGGGGACTGACGGTTGGCAGACACCCTCCAGCACACCTTGATCAGGCGAGATAAGACTTGGGTCCGCTAGAATGCGCTTGATATTTGCTACTTCATGCTCGACCTCGATCGACGACTGTTCATCCGTACGATCGTCAATAATCCAGAAGAGGTGCATGAAATCTGAGCAGAGTCTGAAGTGCTCAGGACTTGCGCGTCTGTATGCCCAGGCGACGAGAGTCATAATCTCGTATTTGGCAAATTTGGCAAGTTTCTTGTCGGACATAACATTGAGGCTCTTGACCCATTCGAGAGATTCAAGTGTCATCTTGTGCTTGAGAGGATGGATGGTAGAGGTGCAAGGCCAAGTCGCAGAAGTTCCTTCCAGCAGTGCTCGGGGAAGTAGGTCAGGAAGTCTGAAGGCAGTCGGCTTCCTAACAAAGCTTTCATTAGGGCGAAGAGTGCCAAATGACAATGGCGTTGGGTGCGGGAGGATGGTAGAAGTCATGGTAATGAAGTTTGCAGGATTTTACAAAAGGTCGAGGATGCGGATGGACAATAGATAGAGGTGATTTGTAAAGACCTTGAATGAGTATTTGTGCTTCACGGTGTGACGACATTACACAATGCTGATCATAATAATGTTTCTCTTGATGTGACAGTAGACCTTTTTTCTTCGTTGCTGTGTATAGGCACTAGCAGGGGACAGTCCCAAGTGAGAACAAACGATTGGGTGTGATATTAACACGTTCGGCAATCTCTCCTTGCGAACTAAAGACGGATCGTTCGGTATCTGGCTTAAGCTTTGCTTGGTCAAATTACTCGCGATACACTTTCCCATGAACGACTGGAATAGACCCGGGCATTTTGGCCCGGCTTTTAGCCAACAAACGCGTGTCGGCGTTTAACCCTGTGTAGTCACGTTTTTTTGGTTTTGATGTCCTTGACAAATGCGCTCTGTTTTTCTATTAGCCGAAATCCGCAAGTTTATTCCAGCTGTCCATGGGATAAAATGACTTTTCATCTGGCTGATAGACTTCGCATTGACCATTCGGTAGATCATACCCATTAGGTGCCCAATCCAAAGAAAGACATACATCTTAGCATTGAACTAATCAACCAGCTTGACGTATACGATGTGATCGAGGTATGTGATACTGCATACATCTAGTGCCGGATCGATTTCATCTGTGCCTCCGGCTCGAGCTCCGGTGCGTAGCGTGGTGGATACCACACAGATAAATTCGAAGACAAAGCCTTGTCCAGTTATGCAATGACAAGTTATCTTCTAGCTCTATATGTACAAGATCTGAGCGTATCTACTAGTCCGTCTTGTAAAGGTCTCGCAAATTAACATCGCGCGATAGGCGAGAATCTCACAATACGCCTAAACGGGTGTGAGGATAGATCCATCTAATGTGATCTGTTTAACCCTAGTCGCAGCGATCTGATCTGCGGGAGCCACTTATGAGCTGCCATTATACGTTCGCGGTTAGGCCAGTACGTCTCCAGCTGACTGATACGGCCACCTTTCTTCTCGAGACATACGCGATCTTCTATTCCGTCTGTCCCTATTTGTGTATAGTTAGTCGCGCTACTGCACGTTTGCAAGTTCACGGCACATGAAGTACATTTTGCTTTCCTCATACGATCTGACAAGGGTTATTAGTTCCTCCGGTGCACATGCTTAGCCTAGTATAAGCTCCACCCTGCACACCATCTCGCGCCGGCCCGTCTACCAGGTCGGCGAATACTTCATCGGGATCAACATCCTCACAGACTTGGGCAGTTTTATGTAACGAAAATTAAACAGGAATTTGTGCCTACTGTGATATCAAGATGCTTGGAAACATGGGAGACCCATAATTGCTTGTGTTGGTCAATTGGCTGGCATCACAGCTAGCCGTCCACGCTTACATGACTTGTTTGTATGCAATCTCCTCCGATAAGCCCATAGCGTCCCGCATGTAGGGTGCCTTGTTCCATCGATGCATCGCCACGAATCCCTGCCTCAAATCCTTCCACCTATCCTCAATCCACCCAGCACCTTTCAACAAATCATCGACAGCTTGAACTGCGGCTGCTGCTTCAAGGACCATCTCGTCCAATGTGTCCGCAAGGTTTTGGTCCGGATGATGAGCCGAGCGCTCGCGAACATAGTTCTGATGCTCCTTCGTGACCTCTTCCGATTTGAATCGTAGGATATCGTTTGTGAAATTCAGGAAGATCTGAATCTGTGGAATAGCCTGGAGATACGTGACAAAATCTTTTTCATTATGTGCGATTTCCTTTGGTGGAAGGAAGGTCATAAAGCTCAACGCCTCTCCAAGACCATTGCGCGACCGAATAGTTGCAGGCCACAGATGGCCTCCAGAGAGGGATGGCATGGCTCTGTAGATAGGCTTGGGCTCAAGAACGCATGTCCATATCAACTGCATGGAGGATGTGATGATGCAATCACTAGCGAGCTGGTCCCATGAGAAGTCGTATGTATTTGCCAATATCGCCGCATATCGGTCCAGAAGAGGGTGCTGCTGGGGCTTCTGAGCCACGAATAGTCGCTGAAATTGGGAGATGGCGGCTTGACCTATGGATGCCGTGTCGAATTCGATCGTGTAGCTGAGCCTGCCAAAACTATCAGAAGGCAATGGAGAACGCTTCGCAAAATGAGTCTCACCATATCCACGTCCCGATATGGACCTTGACCTCGAATGGGTGAGAACGGAACATCAGATCTGGCACCGCAGCCGAAAACTGAGTCATAAAGACATGCTTCTCCTCGTTCTCATATCCAAGCCCCCAGCTTGCGATCCTACTTAGAATAGCATCAGGCAAGTTGCTGTCTAGCGCTAGGGTTGAGTCGGAAGAATAATTGTACGCTACAAACAATGTGCTGCAGGCGTTGACGATACGTTCGTCTGAAGCGACTGCATTAGGCATGGCCAGCTTTGTAGTGGGGTGTGGAGTGCAAAGATTACACCAGAAAGTGATATGTTATGTGAATATTTCTTGACAACAGTTCAGAGGAAGTGCTGCAACTCGGCATAGTTTTTATATTGCATTGAAGATATGAAAGAGCTTAAATAACGCTAGTGTGTACAGTAAGCAGACTACGTAAGTACAAACATTGGCTATAATCCAATTTGATTCACATGTACTAACTGACTAAAATAAGTAGCTGATTGTTATACTCTGTGTTTGCCGGTGCTAAGATCAACTACTATTTGACGTTTTGAACTACCTCAACTTGTCCTCATGCTGGCTTGAACAAACAATGGTCCCCGCTCCCACAACATCCAAGACTTTTGCTTGATCCAGTTTTGGCTTTTTTCGCTGAGCTTCAAGTCAAAATTCCATAAGATATTGGCGAATATAAGTCGCATCTCTGAATATGCGACGTGTCTACCGATGCAATTCCGTGGCCCGACACTCCATGCCTGCATAGCTTCTTTGACGTCTGTTTCGAAACCTGTGTTTGGAAGCCAGCGTTCGGGAATGAACGAATATGGGTCCCTGAAATTGGAAGGAGAGTGGTTTATCGTCCATTGCGGAACACTGACGCGAGTCTGTAGTCGACCTGTAAGTACGTATGCTTACAATCTGACTCAGAACTGGCGAACAGGTTTGTATGTACTTACGTCCACCGGTATATAGTTCCCCGAGACAAAGTTCCCTCCTTGCGGTATTACCCTAGGAAATCCTTCTGGTGCTGGAGGATAGACCCGTAACGCTTCTTCAAGGCATGCATTTAAATACGGAAGCCCCGCTAGAACGGCGCAGTTCAACTGCTCTTGGTCGGTTAACTGACGGACCTCGGCCACTATCTTTGCTAACTTCTCCTGATTCACAAGAAGTAGATACGTTAATCCACTTAGAAGAGTCGCTGGAGGGACAGTTCCCGCCATCACAAAAGCACTTGCATTATTATGCATCTCGTTCAGGCTTAGTGTGTGATTTTCCTTGTTCAGCACGAAGTTCCAGATATCCGGCGCGTCACGTCCTTTTCGAAGACGCTTCGTGATGATTTCGGCAGTGTAGGTGTGAACCTCTTCCTCTTGTTTTGTGGCTCCCGGGGTGAAGAACGCAAGTAGTTTTTGGAGATTGGGATACACAGACACGATGCTGAGGATTGCTTCAGTCTTGGTCGCACCGAATATCGCGGACATCCAAGGTAGATTGGCATCGTTTGTAGCGTATCGAGAGACTCGCCGAAAGATAAGTCACCTATGATATCGAAAGTTGTACGGTTGTACATATCACAGATGTCAAAATTCTCCCTAGAACTGTTCTGCACTGTCGCCCGCAGCCGGTTCATTAATTTATCGACGTGACTTTGGATCAGCGGCTCCTGCAGCTTGAGTGCCTTTTGCGAAAACGCATGAGCAAAGATCTTGCGCACTTGCCCGTGTCTCGCATCATCTAATATAGTCGATATGTCATCGTCGCCATTTTCGTACGAACCATAAAGACGTGGGTCTTGCCCATTGGAGGTCTTATCTCGCGTCTTATGTCCGTAGATGTCTTTCCATGCGGAAGCGGAGGTAAATGAGAGCCTGTCAGGAGAATAACGTACTACATTGCCATAACGGGCGTGTAGAGATGTAATCCATGGGATGTAATTGCCAGTAAAGCGGTGATACCAGATCGGGAGGTGACTTGCGGCTGCAAACTTCGGGCCTGGAACTACGCACGGTTAGTCATGATTTTCATCACAACGCGATAGTCCAATTAAGCGCACACTTGCACAAAGGATAGAAGTAGGCACTGTAGACTGCGCCTGTGAGATATATGATAGCCTAAAATCAGTCAGTATTGTTGTTAACTAATCCCATAAGAGCAACAAGCAACATACTAGGAATGTTACCCCGAATTCCAGGACATGTGCTGTGGAAGAAGCAATTTCTACATATAGGAACGAGGCAGGGTAAGGTTTGAAGGAAACATCTGAGAGTTTCATGATTTTTGGAATTTGTTCCTATCCCAAGACATCAAGTCGTCTCCCTAAAATGGTTCCTTTTATAGGCTGAACAAGCTACATGGTTTTTTCGTAGCCTAGCTTTCTCGCACATGATATCAGACCCGTAATACGATTATGAAGACATGTGACCCACCCAGGAATGCGCATAGATGGACAGGATATCCATGTTACTTCATACGATCTATACAGGCTTGCACGGATAGCTCGAGATACAGAGATATTGGTCCTCAAAGGACCTCCTTGATATGCCCATCCTTAATTGCCTACTAAAGCAACATCAGTTTCTAACCCTTTGCAGTTTCTAGAGACTTGGGCCGGCACTCCAGCTACAGATACGGTCTTGAGGTTTATGTTGAGCCGCTAGTGTACATCCTCGGTCGTAGTGATGTGCCAGACATACCAATATCTTTGGCTATTGTTGCCAAAAGAAGGTGCAGGCAGCTCACCCTAAGCACATGCCCTTACCCACTCTACATGTTAGCCTCCAATTGGTCGTCAGGAAATCAAGAGTAGCTCTGACCAACACATGCATGTTTTGGTACCAACAAAAGGCGAGTGGCTTATGCTTAGGGCGGGCATCACAGCATGCTAATGCGGGTTCCGAGACGAAAGAAACGGAAGAGATTAGGGGTTCGAATTTCATTGCACAAATCCAAACGCACTGACCGCCAAAACTGGTGTCATAGGAGCAGCAGGCTTAGCCGTAAAACCATGTGAGTGTGCTATAGCGTGCACGTACACTTGCGTATGCATTGCATGAAGCCTAGCATTAAGGCTCTGCAGATTTGTCTCCATGCTAGTTTTGAGTCTCCGTATCTAGTCTCAAGTTTATGTCGTCGCTTTCCGAATCATAGTCGTCTTGAGGTGTCCGGTTGAAATCGGTTATGAGCTCATTGTGCATCACAGAAACGCAGATTTTGGTGGGACATGCCTCGAGGGAAAGCGCTGCGTACAGACCACCATGAGATCAGCAATGTGACTAATCTAGACATCACCTACCGAAACCAAAAGGAGTGAAAAGTGGTCCAAGGGGACCTTAGAATTCTGCTACACTTCTCATCCGCTTGGATTCGATGGGGTGCGATAACCCCGAAATCATGCCCCATAGAAAGATGTGAGATTCTGCATGGTCTTTACATGCATGTAGTGCGCTGCAGGGTTGATCCATGCGCGGCCTTAAGTAGTGTGATCGCGTTCTTGGACTAGTTCTCCCGGCTTCCGTCTCCGTCACAGGATCTGATGAGTTAGGCTAGAAGCTAGCCGTCTTAGGTTAAATTCCCAACATTATCCCGGCTGGATGATCCCAGTCGAAGATCTGCACTAGCAATCAGATCGCAGGTACGCCTGTCTATTGGTTACTAAGTGATACCTTGTGTCGTGTAGTGGCATACGCGATGGTATTAGCAGAAGCTATCGTTAGTATAAGCATCAGTCGCATTGCATTAGCCATTGGGCGGTTCGGCATCTTATCATACTTAGTAATTGCCAAGAATTGATCGAATAATTGGCAGTTATTTGTTCAGCTGTTCTAGCAAGCACCAGCCTAACAAAGCTGTAGCAGACAGACAAGATTATAGCTGCGAGATCAAGTTCACCGCCGTCTTGTCGTTGTTGATATCCTTCTTTCTTAGCTAGACTTCAGGATGCAATTCGCAGAGTGGCTGTCAAAGCTATCCCCTTCGTCTGTTCTATTGTCTGTCTCAATCGTATATGTTCTCTTCCGTTTATTGCGCATAGGTCATCGCGAACATGGTTTACCTCCAGGCCCAAAGACTCTTTCAATTCTGGGAAACATTCACCAGTTCCCACAACAATTTCCGCAACTGAAGTTAGTAGTTATCTTTAAAGTTGCGTTCTTTCTAACCAGAGCAGGTTTGTGGAATGGATGAAAGAATTTGGCGAGATCTTCACAGTAAGTCGCTTCATGATCCATCCCGTCATATAGCTGACTTTTGGCTAGATCAAGCTTTTCAACAGTAACATGATCATCATCTCCAGCCCTGCAGCTATCAAAGACATCCTTGACACGCGGGGTGCATTGACTGGTGGAAGACCGAAATCGCACATGCAGCGCGCTGCTCAAGGGCTACACTTTGTGCTCGAGGGCACTGAAAATCCTGTTTGGAAGCGTGGCAGAAAAGCAATCACGCGTTTCTTGACGACAGACAACTTGAACTTGTACATGGCCACACAAAAGGTTGAATATGTGCAAATGCTCAATGATGTCCTCACCAAACCAGATGTATGATCAATTGCTCCTTCTATTCCCTGTTCCATGCTCATGGACTGTGCAGGACATTTATAACCACATTCGACGAACTTCTGCATCAGTCATGACATCCCTTGTCTACGGCAAGAAATGCCTCACGTTCCAAAATTCTTCCGCTGAGGAGTACTTCGAGGGCATCAAGCTCTTTAATGAGACGAACGATCCCGGCGCATATCCTCCCATCGAACTCCTCCCCTGGCTCAAGCATACACCCCGCTGGCTGGCACCGTGGACAGAACATATTGAGCGAACCACCCGAGTGCGCAATACGCTCTATTATGGCTTACTCGCGGAGCTTGAGGAGAAAAGGAAAGTGAACAAAGCCGAACCGTGCTACATGAACTATGTCCTGGACAACGTAGAAAAGCTCGGCATGTCCTATGATGAGGTTGTGTTTCTGGGCGCTGTATTGATGGACGCCGGGGGTGAAACTGCATCGTCATACCTCCAGTCATTCGTGCTCGCAATGCTGAACTTTCCCGATGCACAAAAAAAGGCTCAAAAAGAGATTGACGCTGTAATCGGCAATGATCGACTCCCGTGTTTTACAGACTACGACAGTTTACCCTATCTACGAGCGTTAGTCGATGAAGTCCACCGCTTTAGACCTATCCTACCTATCGGTCTTCCACGAATCGCAACGCAGGACCTGGTGTACAAGGATTATGTGCTTCCCAAAGGCTCCATGTTGGTTTTGAATGCTTGGGGTCTGTTCCACGATCCGGAGCTGTTTGACACGCCAGATGTCTTCCGTCCGGAGCGATATCTGGATTCCAAGTACGGCACGAAGTCGGGAGTGAATACGGAGGCTTTGAGAGACAACATTGCGTTTGGGGCAGGGCGAGTGAGTACAACGATGGGTTGATTGACGATCACTGTTAACAAGTTGTGCAGAGGATATGTCCCGGCGAGGAGATGGGACGCCGTACTATTGCTATGAACACAATGAACCTGCTCTGGGCATTCAAGCTTACTCCAAAACAAGGCGAGAGCTCGACTATGGATATGGACTCCTATTCTGTGGTAAGTACACCCGGTTTGCACTCATTTTAACATGTTTCTGATAGGTTGTATCTAGCCTGGTCTTGAAATGGCTCCAAAACCCTTCTCGTGCAACATTGTGCCCCGTGTTGAAGCCCGCGCAGAGCTCATTCGTGCCGAGTTTGAGTCACTTGCCAAACTTGATTCTTAGAGACAACGCAAACCTTCTCAACAAGTTTGGGACAGAACGTTGTCAAGACAGGAAGTGGGAAGGATTTTGTTATCCTTAGCGAGCATTAAGGGATTGGTTAGAGTGGCTTGTACTGCTTTGACTTATCAGCGTCTTGTTGCGTAGAAATTGCACTGCTTAGTAGTATCAAGTCGTCCATGATAGAGAAAAACTTTTCTCGAACCCTTTTGTACAATCGCAGTCCGAGTCGCAGTTATAGCTCGAGAAGAGAGCTACACAGGCATTAGTGCCACGTTGTAATTTTGATTAATTCGTATCTCATACGACTTGTTTGATTCATTTACTGTAGCAGAACACATACAAAAGGTATACAGCTCAGAGGCACTGTATAGTGAATAAACCTCTTAACCATTAAGACTTCTCAAATTCGCTATTTAGTGTACATGCCACTGCTTGTAGCAGTAGGTTTGTAGGAACATTTCGTTCTTCTACTCCAATTAGAGAACTTCTATTTAGAAAACATTATCAAACAAAACCTAGATCAGCGGTACAGAGTAAGGAACAGCGTAGAAAGTTAACGAATCCGTTTAGGAAACTACAAAAGCGTTTTTGGAACTGTAACAGTAGGTTTCATAGACATTGGCTCAAGCTAGAATGTAACGATCGTTTGTCGCTCGCGCAATCTTCATTTTTCACGTTGCTTGCTCTAGGCCTGATTTCCTGAAAGCCAAGGCGTGTCCCGATGAACGTGGAGGTATACAGCCGATTGCAGAAAGCGGTTATTAGATTTATACATGCCTTTATAGACATTGATTGATTAATTAGTTGATCGACGTTGTTTATGGGCGTAATGAACTGAGCGGCGATCAGTACATTGTCCTGAGCGTTTAGCACTACGCATCGGCACTTTCACCCAGGATCACTTGTTGTAATGACATTAAGCATGATGTATCGCCTCAGCTAAATGGCTTGGGCTTGCGACCGCCTTTCCTGACATCACTTAGTTGTTCAGATGAACAAGGCTCACTGGTGACTAGGCTTCTTGCTCTTGAGAAACCCTAAGAAGTTCCTCTCTTTTGGAGTCGCGACCATCTTGATCGTAAACAAATCGTCCGCGATCTCTCCCGCTTCCCTACCAAAGTTCTTCTTACGCTTTTCGTAGATCTCAGGGGGATAGTTGAACTTGTCGCGGTGCTTGCGGATACATGCCAGGGCTGCAGGTTTTCCCGACTCACATGCTAGGTCAAGCGCAGTTCGCCTATTGCAGACGATGCTTGTAATCTCGAGAGTAGATTTCTCGAGCAGCACATCAAGGGCGTCATAGGCATTTTTACACAGAGCCCAATGGATTGGGTATCTCTTTGCGCCTGGACAGGGCTGGGCCAGTTGCTCAGGATTCCTTTCAAGCTGGGATCGCACGCTAGCACTGTCGTTTCGCTCGATTGCAGAGCAAAGCTGCTCTTGCATCTGGATCCTTTGATCTTGCGTCTGAACCCTTTCGTCTTGCGACTGGACCCTCTCGGCTTGTGACTTGACTCTTTCGTCTTGCGACTGAAGCCTCTGCTCTTGCGACTGAGATCTTTGACCTTGGAAAGCTGGTTCTTCCGAAGAGTTTGATTCTTGCGGGACATGTGAAACATCTTGCAGACTAGCTAGAGGACTTGTCTCGACAATTTGAGGAGGCATGTATTTTTCAGGTGCGATCTCATACGAGTCCCAGTCTTGCTGAATATCCGCAAGTCTGTCGCGTAAGTCAGATGCCTTCATCCTTTTGCTGCGATCGATACGTAGAACAGAACCAAATATGACTTCCAGTATTCTGTGTACAAATCTCTGCTCCATTCGAAGGTGGTAGGTATCCAGGAGTAATTCGTTTGACCATTCGATGAGTTTGGGATTCAAGGCAGCTCGAAGCTGGGGTGTTGTGCCAGGGATGTTGTCTACGTCTGGAACGTGTTCCGGTATATAGCAACATTTGTGGGTCGAGCGATGTCTCCAAGAACGTTGGTCGCTCCTCACATAGGTTAAAGGCTCCCTTCCAGCACCATTGAAACTGACCTTCAACCACGTCTCCAACATTGAGACCTCTGTCGGACCATTGCTCATGAACGCGAGGACCATGAGTGCCACAATACCTATAGACCAAACGTCACTACCTTGGCCTGCCTGGCTGATGTTCTGCTGCTGGATCTCGGGGGCCTGGTACAGGCCCGGTGGTCTTGTTGCTGGTAAAGTCGAAGATACAGAGGTGGCCGCTGAACCACTCGCAATACTAACTCTTTGCCTTGCAGCTTTCTTTCGTGCTAGACCAAAGTCACTGAGCTTCCAGATTAGCTCATGATGACTCTGGTTCCCTGATGTAGAGCGACTTAAGTCTCTTTCGAAGATCAAAATGTTGTCGGGCTTGATATCGAAATGGAAAGTCTGAACCTTATCATGCAAGCATGCCAACGCCTCCACAATATCAACAAGACTAGCAAGCAATAGACCTTTTCTTAAGTATTTCTTGGCACGGTCTTCGTCCTTGAGGAGGTCTTCGAGACTGAACGTTGCAAGCTCAAAAATCAGCGAGTGACTTATAGCTGCTCCTTGGTGGTCTACTATGGTAATGCTTCCCCAATCCAGCATGATCATATCATGCTTAGTTTTGCAGCTTCGCAGTTCCTTCAAAATGTTGAGCTCGATATTGAAGTCTCGGGTCGCCTCGTCCATACTTCGATTGGCGTCCTTCTTGAAGGTTTTGAGAGCTACAATGGTTGTGTTATTTGGGTTTCCAGGAATGATTTCACCATCGACGTCGATCTCCCAATGGTGCTGCGCGATTTCGGTCTTGACGACGTCGCCTGAAGAGCCTGTCTTGATCGGCTCCTGCCCTCCAATGAAGGGTAAGCGATCCTCGTTGCTGAACTTCTGGTGAAGGAGCCTCTGAATCGTCACTGGTTTGAATATGGCCTGCTCTCCCAGGATTCCATGGTGATACAAAAATGGAATTCCATATCGATGTAGAGCTGCCCTCGTAAACGGCATCGAGTCGTCAGACGGGATATCGGGGACATCAGACCTTAACCACTTTAGGAAAAGTGAGAGTAGCTCCTCGCGATATTGGTAAAGGAATACTGCGAGCAGCGCCTTCCGTGATGGCGTTCCTGTTGTTTTCTGGACGTAGTATTTGATGTGCTTGTCGATGTCGGATGGGTGCGATTCCTTCTCCTTCTCTGCAACATCGCTGAGGCCTGTTCGTGGGATGGTAGGTCCGACCGCAAAAGTGACAACCCCAAGGAGAAGCTCTCTAAATAAGTCCTCCAATGCCTCTTTTGTGAGTATTCTCTCGAGTTCTCCCCTTGACAGGAAACAGCGGGTCTGTCTCTCGTTTGACACGTCGAGACCCTCCACTGTCTTAGCGACAGCATGTTGTAATTGTTTGCACAACACTGCAACATGGGTCTCATGAGCCGAAGAGAAGCTGGTCCGAGGTGTGGAGGAGTCTCGTCTATGGCTCATTGCAGCTGGTTGTCGCTGATCGACCAGCCCCGTGACACGCGACGGGATTCGCGCCTGAGCCGAGGCGTCCAGATGCGTTCGGTGGAACCTGCAATGCGCGAACGTACATATGGCAGCTGTAAATGGAACACGGGGCTTGTTGGCCTGTCGATGGGCGGAGATCCACCGACAACGAGACTCTTAGGGTAAGATGTGGGACAACTTCAGACCAGAAGAGCTGGGCAGACCTGGAGATTCAGCAAGGGCAGCTCCAGGCAGCATCGCCTAGGTGAACAGCAACGGTGCCAACGTAATGAGTCCCCCGGGCCTGCAGGTGAACGCTGCGCAGCACCGCTTTGACCCCCGCAATGACGTGCCGCGGAAAGTGTGCCACACAGAAATATCGGCCTGCAGAACGAAGCCATATGCCAGCCATGCGACGATGTGACAAGATCATTTAGATTACGAGTTCGGCCTATAGGCTTTCGCCAGCGCAGACGCACCTCAGCATGATCGAGGCCGAGTCGATCTTGCCTCAGCTGTGTTAATGTATGCTGATTGTGGATTATAAAAGTTCTTCAGCGACAACAAGGCTCTCCCTTCTCTCCAGCTTAGCCACTACCAAACCATGATACACCACCAAACCCAGGGTCGGTACTATAGCCGCGCAGGGCTAGCGACTTTTCTGAAAGGCAAATTCGGCGATCACATTAACTTCAACATCAACGCGACTAAAGATGGTCACTTCACCTTTGAGGCTCCTGAGCTTCTGACTGCTGTAAGCTGTTGAGAACGGCTCACAAGGCTACATTGACACCACTAGGCGGATTGGAGGTAATGCAATGCGCACGTTGTGTTCGTGACCGGTGAGCGCTGACGAAAGGCAACCTCGTAGTAGTGCAAAAGACTGAAGCACCGTCTTGTCTTATCAGGCTGCTCAGGCAAAGCGGGGTTCCCCCCATGATGGATTCAGGCCGTCCCGAGCCCACTACATATCTGAGGGCATATAGCACGTAGCCTACGGTAGAAACACCTGTTTTGTTTTGCAATTTATCCTCGTCGGAATGTTTTTCAATTATCAGCAAGATGACCAGGAAATGCGTGATGCTTGTGCCCTCGCTTTATCGGCATCACAGATACGAGCTTGCACTCTCAATTGCAACGAACTATTCTCGAAGCACAGAGACAGCCATTTGGTCGAAGTGACTCGCTTTACATCTAACGCGTCCTGTGTTCCATCAGTCCACAGCTTTACTAGCTGTGTGCAGTTATCGGCTTACTTTGACAATGATACGAGCAATGTGGGTGAGCAGGAGGCTGGTCTGGAAATATAGTGGGTGGTTTTCATTTGTTCTGTTTCATGGCTAACAAGAGTTTGAGTTCGATTCACCAGAAAGATACATGGGCGCCACTCAGCGTTAGCCGCGACATGATCTCTCTTATCATGGATCAGTACCGCCTCAGTTCTGGTTTCCTCCAGATCCTGGCTTGCTTTCGAGATCGATATCTGTCGACGGAAGAAGGATTTTCGGGCGCTTCACAGTCGCTGTTCACGAGTAGCCGATCTGGTATGTTGTCCCTCTTCTGTATGAACATCGTGTGCTCGGTTCCGGAAAAGGCTTTATAACACATGTTAGAGTACGGTTGGGTCTACAAATACTCGGAAAAGAAAGCCGTCAAGTCAGGGAATCCATGGCGGATTCGACATACAGGAATTTACCACTTAGCCGATCGAAAACGAGAGAGATCAGTGCTATTTATCATACATCCAAGTCCGTCCGCGCACTTCAAGATCTACCTTCAGCAATTGCTACAACAACCACAGGCCAGATCCAGAATACTATCAAGCCCCATGCTGATCCACTCGATGTTGATCTCTACACATCTCAGCTCTTGGCGTGACTATCTCGAGTACCACGAGACACAGCTTTTGCAATTAGTGTGTGCCCTTGTTCGTAGTGACAGCATGTTTGAGCATCAACTGACAAATGAGAAGGACATGAAACCAGCCTGCACATCGCTCACGCAATCCCTCGTTACATTCGACACTCTCAAAGAAGTTCGTGCTGTGGAAAAGAACATCCTGCCGCTCGAACCTCTCCTTGCATCATTCGAAAGGCTGATGCATGACCTTGAAGAAGCCAACAGTGTCTTCACTGAAGCGAATGACGCGAAAGATAGCCCTTCTGCGATCATACAAGCGGCACTTATCCAATTCCGCAAAGATGCTGCATCGTACAGAAGACAAGTTCTATACATGGATAGACGGGCTCAATCGACTGCTCAGTCAGTGCTAGACGCCTTAAATCTGGGGTTCCAAGAACTGGCCCAAAGCCAGAACAGAAATACGTTCGACATGGCGAAATCTGCACGAGAGGACTCTGTCGCTATCAGAGCTATTACGCTTGTCACATCGTTTTATCTACCATTCTCATTCGTTGCCGTAAGTGTAAAATTGTTTCTAACGTTAGAAAACAAAGCTGAGCATGCACAGACCATGTTTGGCATGAACCTTGTTGATTTCGACTCTGGGTCCCGCGATCTTGTTTTGTCGAATCAACTCTGGCTTTACTTTGTGATCTCGGTCCCTCTCACCGCCCTTACGCTGGCATATTGGAAGTGGAGAATGCAAATGTATCGCGAAGGCTACATGATTGAGGAGAGGAGGCCAGGGATAGATACGAAGCCACTGAAGAGCAACTCAGATATCGAAATGGTATAGTACTAGTTTCCTATAGAGACACAAAGAGACGTTACGAAAACAATAGACATTACCCATTGAGTGTGACGTGACATGGCGAAAAACGAACATAATCCCTGTCATTTAGTTGCGAGGTGTACTGCTCAAACCACGAGGATCGGCGCCTAAGCCGGTCTGCATTTCATATTCGTCATATTCGCTCGAGCTCGATGAACCTGGAGGATCAGAACGGGCGGTGTCCGTTCCTTGTGGTCGTTGTTGCCACTCGGCTCTCGGTGACTTGAGCTTCTTTGGGTAGCCACACTTGTCCCAAGGCCTGGAGCCCAATCGCAAACAGTAGTCGACTGGTTTTGTGGTCGTGTGTGACACTGTCTTGAGGGTGTACTTGAACATGAACCATGAGGTGATGTCGAGTTGCTCGAACACAGTCTCCAGGTCCTCCTTGCCAGTACTGGGAACAAGCCAGAAACAAAAAAACCATGCGAGAAGGTTGGTGCCTGCGAACAGTAAAAGCACGCCGAACTGGTGGAACGTCTTCAACAGCCACGGGGCTATGACGGCAAGAAATCCAGCCCCCGTGAAGTTCCAACACACAGCAAGGCTCATGCCAAGTTCTCGATTGACGAGCGGAAATACTTCTGCTGAGACAACGAAAGCTGCTGGACCTTCTCCGACGGAGTATGCGATTATGAATAAGGCCAGGAAAATATAGTGCCCAACGATAGCTCCAATGGCGGGCTGGTTCGAGTCCTTCTCTGGGATTTTCAAAACTAAGGCAGAGCCCAGCAAAGAAAATGCCATGCTTGGAAATGACCAATTAAGGGCCCGTCTCCTCCCATCGGGGATATCGATGACGAATAGGGCAGGAATCGTAGCTATGAAGCTGAGCAGCATCAAGCCAAGCGAGGCCCCCAGCAGCTGCATATTCTGGCCTGGGCTTGTTTGGTGGGTGTTGTGGAAGAAGGAATTTCGGAAAAAGGTATCAGCCATGAAAGCTATCAGGTTGATGCCGCACAGTTGTTGTGAGACCATGACAGCTGCTGCAGCTCGATGCGCTCTTTTCGTGTACCCAGAACGAAAGAATATTAATGTGACGCGTTGCCGCCAACCGATGTGTTTAATGACATCAGCGAATGGGCTTTTTGACTCTGTAGTACTGTTGCTCGCATTGATCGTAGAAGGATGGCCCCTTAACGCTGCGTTCAGTCGGCGTTGCTCGTCGATCAGACGTGTGTGCATCAGGAATAGTTCGCCGGCGGCAAATATTGGAACAGATTCGCCCCGAAGATCGACAAGTGACTTGTAGGCCTTCCGAATAAGAATCCCCCTACGAGGGTCACTTTTGGGAAGGTCTTTGACAGCGCCGCTTTCTTTCAGCAACCATCGTGGCGATTCTACTTCAATGTCAGTCTCTAAGAAGAAAGGGTACGGAAGTACATGAGCTACTTACCAGGTGAGAAGAGGATCAATGATAGTAACAGCAATGCGGGAATGAAGGCCGAGATGAACATGTATCGCCAACTCGAATGAACGTCGAGGCGATACACGCTCAAGTTCGTCACTGATCCAGCCGCTAGCCCGAACGCCACAAAAAGCTGCCAGAAGACCAGTAAAAAGCCTCGCACATCTTTGGGCGAGGTCTCAGAGAGCAGTATGGGAACAATCGAGGCTTTGCCCGCCATACCGGCACCTAGCAAGATCCTGAAACCGAGAAGATGCTCCCATTTGTTAACTGAAGCGGAGCCTATGACTGATATAAAGCTGAATATGCCCGCAACACATATAGCACCTCGCCGTCCAAAGCGGAGGATCCTGGTGATTGGATCGGTAATGATGAGACCTAGTATTGCGCCAGCAAAGAACGGAACCCCAATTGTGAATCCGAGCAGCCAGGTGTTGTGATCGAGAACGACGTCGAAATCGCCGTCCGCCCGTCTGATGACGCCTGAGGAGGGACCTGTTGTGGTAGATTTTCCCAAGTCACTCATCACTTCGATAGCAGCGCCTTTTTCATTGTTAGTTGGTATGTAATCTTTACTTCGTTTATGATATCTTACCGGCCATAGCAGCTTGATCCCAGCCTCTAGAAAAACGTCAGTTCCAAATCGTATGAGCTGAGCATTCACACTTACTGAGTCATGGCAGCATAGATGCAAGCAACGATCAAAAGCCGATGCAACCTCGACAGATTCTTCAGTGTTTCCCACCTACTCTGTGGTAAGAAAACCTTGTACAGAATATCGCTTTCCAACCTCGTATATCTGTGTTCGCCGACGCGCAACTCGATGGGGTCGTGCGGTTCATTGGGTTTCTTCGAACGCGATTCTTGAATGACCTCAAATTCAGCTTTAATGTCGACTTGCGATCGAAGCGCGAGAACACCGCGGACGAACACATCCTGCTCGACTGGTAGCTCGTATTTCTTGTGGAATCTGATAGCATCTCGTTCTGTGACCTTATCCAGGGGATTATCCAATTCAACGCTGTCAGATATGATTAGGAGAGTTCCGAACGCATCAAAAAGGATGTCGTACTTGGGATTATCTTCGATCACAGGTCTATGCACAAAGGCTGCCTGCGGAGTGGTCGTAGCCGTAGGCATCGTTGTCGGATGCGAACAGAGTGGATCAGAACGTGAGGAAGAACAATCAATTGTAGAGCGAATGTAACATCGATTGTACCGCATGACTCCAGAGTTTGTTACACATGTACTTTGCACGTGTTATCCTGGGCACTGGGGTCCCGCACCCCCGTACGCCAACCTGTGATCATCAGAGTCATTGTCCGCAACGAAAGTGGAGAGACTATTGCGTGGTGGCTTGGGGATTGGGGCGTTTGTACAGCCCCTAGTGACGTTGCCAGCCGTTGAGTCGTTGGGGGGTGAGAGTGGCGAGCACAGCCTTGCTGTTGTGTGACCTGAGAGCGCGTTAGGTTCGCGTTTATGGTATAGACAAAAGGTCCTCCTCTGCTCACCGGTTAACCCAACCACCTTTGTGATGGGCTGTGCCCTTGTCGAACAGCTATTAGTCGGGGGCTCGAGTTCGGTGGCTTGCCAGGTTTTGCTCAACAATGAGATGTGTCAATATAGCCAACTCGACGTTCAGGCAAAGAAGGCAACAAGCCACATGCACGAGTCGCGCTCTCGGACCACCTCGCACTCGGCCTGCCGACAACAGCTACCACGGCTCGATGAGTTGTCCTTGGATAGAGATGGCTCCAGCATTACTACAGGATGCAGTGATACGCCGGGACATCCGCCTGGACCTACGACTCTCACGGCTATTACATCTTGTCCCGACTGTTGGGCACGAGTGAGTTGGTGTTCAAGTCTTAAGTTGCATTGGCCAGCAGCTACGACACGAACATGTTACGGACCAACGTACAACTCCTCCACATACGACCATAGGACGTTGAAAACAAGGCTTCCCGTTCGCTCAGCCCTATTTAAGCAACGTACCGGCGGACTAGTAGTTAGGTGGGTGACCACTAGCGAATCCCCGCTGTTGTATGTTTTTGTCATTTTGCTCCTCCCCTGTTGAGTGATCGGTGGTCGTTCTTGCCTTTTGTTGCGGCGTTTCCAGCTGGAAGGAAGGAGCTACCTGAGCTTCACCGGTGTGGTTTGGAGTGACGCCCTCAGAACCTTGTCATGTCGGAGCCGTGAACTGGAATTTACGTCCAGCGTGCTGGCCAACAGACACGCCTTCCCTTTTGGATTTGAACGTTAAATCATCTGACAGGTCACAGAAGCCGTAGAGCATCATCGAGCGCTCAATGTAACCCATCAGCCATATATAGGCGTGTTCGCATAACTTGGTATCATCGTCATCCTCCCTCAGCTCCTCAATTCCTTCTGTACTTCGCCGGGATGTTCCTCTCTACAATGCCCGTCTTCTCCAACCTCTCCCACTCTTCCTGCCTAGCTTCCAGCTCCTCGTGATGTTTGAAATGCGCGATATCCTCCGGGTGATTCAGATCCTCCTCCTTGACATCATCTCCACTGTGGTACTTCTCCCAATGGTGGATCTCGTACTCGTATTCGTCGTCCCCGTGGTGTCCTGGCCCCATGCCGAAGTCTGGTAGCTTTACGTTCTCGGCGTCCTTCTGGAGGTATTCTGCGAGGGAGATGGCGCCGTCGCGGTTCGTGTCGAACATCTTGAGCACGGTTTGCACGACCATTGTTTTCTTGACGGTGGAGATGTGCGAGGAGGAGGGATCGATGAGCCCGTACGTGCGTTGGATATCTAGGTCGGTCCAGATGCCGGTGCTGTCGTAGTCGTGCAGGTTGAAGAAGGTGGTTGCGTCGAAGCCAGAGATATGGTGTTCCTCTGTAATGTTTGTTAGTTTGTATGTCTGGATACTGAAGGTGGAGGCGCATACCAGCCATGTGGCGCGTCGCCCAATCTGCATCTGGCGCAACCACGATTTGCGAGTGATCGCCGTCACCGTGCGCTGAGACATTGAGGGCGCAGGATAGCAGTAATAATGCGCCGAGGGGTGCTTGGAGTAGCCTATTCATTGTTGCTGTGCTGGACCCGGTTCAATTATCGATGTATGTGGAGAGAAGCTGTTGACGTCGTCAGGGGCAGGAGCAAGCAGGGGTTCGGAGGATCGATTGTCCAGCTTCCGCGACGATGTCATTTCGATCGGCTGTCTCCACACGCTCCATCACTACCTCAACCCACTCGCGATGCACGTTCTCGCCCTCCTGAGCCTTCTGCTCTTCATCCCATTTATATTCTTTCTTGTTTTCCTTGGATTGTCTTCGTGCATGGGCGATCGCTTCCGCGCCCGAGTTTCCGGTATCACGTTTAATCCTCGACACGCTTCGTTCGGTCGCAACTACACACGCGGTATGGGTTCGGGGGCTGGGAATGGAGGATGGGAGCAGATTGAAATGGAAGACATGCTTGGGGAGGACAGTGAGGAGGACTGAGAAATTGAAATACGCAACACAACAATACGAGACTAATTTTCTGTCACGCTGGCTATTTGTCTGACGGATATATTCCACGATATCGACTGGACAGGCTCAGAATTCAAGGTCTTTCTTCGCCGGCATCGCACTACCGCCAGCCGCCTCCCTTACCGCCGCCTCTTGCGCCTCCGTGTCGCCCTCCATCGGCGGCAGACTAAACTTCGCAATCACAAACTTCCGCCGACTCAACGTGAACGCCAGATCCTCGCCGAGTTCATCCGCCCCACCACCTCCACCCTTCTCATGGAATATAGGCAGTTTGTGCACCGCGAACATGCCCTGTGGTCTCTCCTCGTCCTTCGTTGTGCCGGCTGATGTCGCGAGTGCCTGCATATGCGAGTACGGAAACGGAGAGAGCTCGAGAACGCCGTCGGACAGGATCTCCATCCATCGGACTAGGCCCGAGGAGCGCGGGTAGAGGGATAGTGGAAGTGTGAAGATTGCCGTCAGGCGCGTGGGGTATTGTCTTAGCAACGCTCGCAGAGCGTGTAGAAACTGGAGTATCGAACTGGGATGCGCCGACGAGGGAGGATACAACGCTGGCGAGATAAGGGAGGGTATAACAAGGCGATGGATCGTATGTGCTGGTGTTGTAGCGAGCTGCTGTTGGATGTTCTGAAGTATCGCCGTGAATGGCGATGCAGAGCTAGAGATCGTTCGAGGGATTGGGATATAATTGATCGCCGTCCCCACAGGAAGCGTAAGGCGTTTCGCGAGATCAAACATATGACAGAACACCGAGGGTTCTCCCTCTGCATCGCCCTGCCCTGTTGATCGAATCACGCCCGGAGACCCTGAAAGGCAAAGTCAGAACCATGATCCACTCTTGAAATGTAACAAATCGCATTCATTGTCTCCAAATGTATATGTACAAAACGCACCTCTAGCACTTTCAAACTGGCCCAACCCCTCGTACCGCCACGCAATCTTCATCTTCTCCGCTCTTTCCCTCCCCTCCTTCCTCTTGTCACTCCCGCTCTCCGCTATCCCTGGCAACTCCCTCCCCCACACCTCCCCCATACCCACGACATGCACCCTGTGGCCCTGCACCACACCCTCTGCGGCGTAAAATCGAAGAAGCGCACCCGCATAATCTGTTGTCCCGCTTTCTTCTATCAGGATAGAGGTGCCAAGTGGGAGACCTGCGTGCCCTGCGAGAATATTATCGAGAGAAGGGGTACCGGTGGATGTGGTGGGGCGGCCGTCGATGGGGGAGGGGCGGACGCCTGGAGCCTGAGGGGTAGGTGTCACAGGGGATGGAGAGGAGGGGCTGAGGGGCGCGTCGGGATCTATTGGGGCGCGTGAGAGCGCGATATTGCGCTTGCGAAAGGCCATTGTGTGGGGTTTGGTGGGAGGAAAGTTGCCGGAGGGCGCGTTTTGACCGTAATCGATAAGAATTAGCTAGCGGCAGACGTCACTTCCCCACCCCACTCGAGGTTTTGTTTCCTTTCCTCATCTACCAAACATGCAGAAGCTTCGCTTGTTCAGTTGCTAAGCTCTGATCAGTATACGATGACCGTTGTCTGAAATGATGGATTAAACACATGAAAACCTAAGCTTCTTTGTACATAAGAATAATCTTTTGTTTCAGGAAGAGACATGACCTGGTGGCAATAAAACCACGCATGACTTTGCCTAATTTATTCTCTGTTGGCATCTGTCATATTCATATACGACATAACATATCCGGATGCCTATAGGGACCTTACAGAATAATATAGAATCCCAGGACCGGTCGCTGTACCGGTCGATGTAGTTGCAAATCTTATGTGGGAGTATAAATTCACAGGTCTTTCATAATTACTGTGTAATTATGGATATTTCCGTTACCCTCCTGTTCATTTACTTTTGCGTTCCGCCCGATGGATCATCGACTTGTTTGCCTACGGACTGCATGCTTAGCGGTTGAGAGCGTCTTGTATATCAACTCATAAGGCAGATTGCTTTCGATCTCAATGTGACTTATATGCGTCTCCATGCTAGACATGATTACCGGCGCGTACTATTGTAACCTCCTGTCATGGCTCAGCCTAGCGACTACGACGCAAGCTAAAACATGGATAAAATGCCTGTTGTGGATTGCCCTGGCGACTACGGCCATATTTGATGAGCTTTCTATGGTTGAGGAAGAAATAAATCAACCAAGACGGACGCGCATGTAACTTATTACTGTTTTCAATCGAAGTTATATGCTATTCCCATTGACTTCATTTGTACCTAGGTGGTGCTAAGTAGGCCGTGTATCATGGCGTTGAGTCAAAAGGAGCCCGAACAGCGGAATGACACCATTGTCAATCTTTCAGAGAGGTTCCACGTCAATGCTCAAAACGCGTCCAACAGTGGCTATTTCTTGAAATACTTCGAAATCTTACAAGTGGTCCCACAAATCTGATCGAAGCGGTTGATCCCGTCTCATGTATCGAAGTGGAGTGTCCTCGATGACGTTGGCATTACCTGAGATCAGCGCGCTAGATCACGTTTGCACGTGCAGTCGCCTGTTTTGGACTCGAAACCAAATCTTGATTGTTCTTCAGATGTCAGCCATGTCCAAATACTACGCAATGAACCTATTCTTCATCAATTCCAAAGAAATATAGTACTCAAATCAGGAAGGAGGGAGTTCCTATGCGTTTCGTACAATGCCTCTTCCCTCATACGCCCGCGCAACTACATCCTCTACGCAGAAAGCGAGTCTCGTGCCTTCCAATATCAAAGAGCTAGGAGATATCCAAACAGACACAATCAGAAAACCGAAATCCCCTACGACATCCAGAGCAAGTCTCCCACTACGGAATTCCCGAGCCCCAGAACCCAATTGTGCAAAAGCCCCATCGGTCAAGCCCTCGAGGAGGTCATCCACGCCAACAACGAAACCTGCCCCACCCCAACCCAAAGAGCGAGAAAAGCACACGCCGCGAAAACTAAAGCGCCCTTCAACCCTCACTCCCAAAGTGCGGCGCACACAAGCCTACAAAAACGATCTCCATCCCATAACGCCACTCAACCCCTCGAAACCATGTCCCCTATCCAGTCTCCCCTCCGAACTCCGCACGCAAATATACACGCACCTCTTCTCCACGCGCAGCCTACAGGACCCCAGTAACTGCCGCTACGCCGCAACCCCCCACCGTGAGCAAAGCGCGCGCTACCTCTTCCCCAGCATCCTGCACGTAAGCCGCGCGATCCGCATCGAAGCAGCATACACGTTCTACAGCAGCACGCCCTTCCTGTGGCGGATTCCGAATCTGAATTTCGCGCGTGTGAGGGCCTGGCTGGATGTGCTTCCTGCGGGGCATCGGGCGCTGTTGTCGCGCAATCGCGGGCTGACGCTGGACGTCGTGCCGTTTGTGCAGAGACTGTATACGTATCCGCCGAAGGACTATTTGTTGGATGACTATGTCGAGGCGCATTGGAAAGCGTGTATGCCGTTTGGGTATCTGTATACGGTTCCTGTGGCGCATCGTCAGCAGTTTATCATCTTTTCTCGGCTGGCGGCTTGGTTTTTACAGCCCTTTGGTCATTCTTCTTCAGCTTCTTCCTCAATGGGTCAGAGATATAGTATCGATTGGATTTATAAATTCGATGCGCATCGGCGGCGGGATTACGATGTTTATCCGACTATTGCGGACGGTCTGTTGCCGTTTCTGAAGGAAGATCTGGGAGTTGTCAAGATGCGCGCGGTTCAGAAGGCATGGGTGAGTAATAGACGGGAGGCGGAGATGGGGAGGGAAGCGAGGAGATTTTTGGATGCTTTGGATGCGTGTTTTAGCGACGTGGATGGGACGGAGAGCAGGCAGCAGGTCAGTATCAAGGATTGGGAGGAGGAGATGAAGGGACTGAGAGACTTTCTCGGCCGGTGGTGAGTATGATTGGGTTGGGCGGGTAGACAGGATACATGAAAAATTGTTGGCAAGGCAAACTAAACATATGTTCCAGTTACAAGTTGCTCTTATAGGAGTGAAAACACCAAACAACCAGGAAACGGGCTGAGAAGGCGTGGTTCCTAGAGGTAGAAACCAATGGGTATCGTGTATTTATCATTGATCGGGAAAGCATAATTCCTCAGCTCCTGCCAAACATCCCATCTCTGCCATATCTCTTCCCTACTATGCTCTCTTTCATTTTAAGGTCTGCTTGATATACCGTAAATCCAGAAAATTCAGGACTTCCAGAAAATACCGTAAGCACGACCTCCTCCATGGTAAGCGAAGGATGAATGGAAGGTAGTCATTGGTGACAGGCACGCGAATAGTGCACTGTTCAGCGTACGCCAGCGAATGCCGGGTCAAATCCATAGAGCGGGCGCCCATGCTGTTAAATATCTTAGCATCTGACCTGGAGAGGTGAATGGCAATGCCAACTTACCCTATTGAGAACAAAGATAATGTCTGTCACACTAACGGTCTTGCGACCAGTCAAATCGACGACGGCGGCGACATCTTTGAGGATCTACATAATTATTAATTGTACATCTCTCTGCTTTGATGGGAAGACTCACGACTCGGAGTCGTTCTTTGAGCGCATCGCGAACATCGTCGTAGATTGTGCCTGCGATGCGCTTCACACCGCCGCGACGAGCAAGACGTCTGCGAGATAGTTAGCAAACTATATATCAAAGGTGTTGTAGAAAATGAGTGGAGACATGATGTTTGGAGAAGAAAGAAGGGTACTTGCGAATGAAGCAAGAAGTCCTTCTCTCTCACCTGAGTCCCACGATACAACAATACAACGATGCGCCGCTTCGAACCGCGGGATGATCAATCGTCACGATTACAGTTCTTGCAGATATATTCTTCAAGTACTACATCTTCCGACAAGCAAGTCAACTCGTGTCGGACTTGAAAGACGGTCGATGTCTTGAAGCTGGCGCATCTCATGGCAAGATCGACAGACGAAGCAGCTTACCTGATGTCTCCCTTGGTAACTCCACGGATAGTATCTCGTTGTATCTTCCTACATAGTGATTAGCCTATCCTTGGACTAACAGCTAAATACTCACATATGCCGCTTGATGCCCTTTCCTCTTCCGAGCCCCAAAGCACTCTTACCCAATCCTAGGCCTAGCTGACTGGCTCTCGACGCGCTGCCAGCTTGAGGACTAGGAGCCGCAGCAGAAGACGATGGACGAACTTGTCCAGGACGCGTAGGAAAGCCCCCCAAGCGTGGAGTCCCACCAAACTGCTTCGGGCGTTCAGTCGGCGGCATGTTGTCGATGTTGTGATGGTAAAGTAGGCTGCGGTATTGCTACACAGTAATGGGGCTGTGCGCGCCGTTTGCTATGTCGGCGCTTGGGCCACTACGTCACGCGAAGTTGGAACGCGTCTGGCGCGTTGTCAGGTGAAGATAGGTAAGATAAGATAGTGCATCGCGGGGTAGTGGAATGAGAGGGCGTAAGTGAAGGAAGGAAACCAATCTTTGCTTTGAAGCTGCAGACAGCGCATCCAAACAGCAGGTCATGCCAAGTCACCGCGATGTCTCGCTGACAACACATATCTTGTTTTAGCAGACGCGAGAAACAGCCAACAGCGTTAGTATGGGCCTTTACTTGATCGCCTCGTCCCTCACTATCTCTTCCCCATCCTTCCTTCAAGGCTGTCGATTTACCTGACTACATGAGATATCGCTCATACGTCTTAGTATGTCCCTCGTGCAAAACCTATTCACTACCAAAACACGAAGTGATGTGAACAGACGTTATTCATTAGGATTTCCAGGATGCCAGCCCTGACATATCAAGTATTAAAGCTAGGGTGGGTACTCGTGACAACGTAAACGCCTGATTGCAGATACTTATGAAATGAAAGTCGCCTCAGTGAACAGGGTACCTTCTTCCTCCGTGACTTCGTCTCCGACCTTGACCTTGATGGTCAACTTTGGCGCGTACTGGTAAATGTATGGCTTCGTGCCCGCGGCTGTTGCGACAATGGCCTTGACGAAACCAGGCACTTCGGCCATGACATCCACACGATCCCACCTGGGTCCGAGAGAACCGGCAAGCTCTGCAGTAACTTCTTGTCCATCTTCGGTCTTGCCAACCCAGTTGTAGCTTGTCGAGGTAGGCTCTGGCCAGTCATTGTCAGAATCTTGCTTTATGGCGGTGTGTTTAGCTTCGCCGTTGATGCCGGCGATGAGCAGCTTGCCCTCTGTTGCAATGCCACTGACCCTAACAACAGACGAACCATAGGATGGCGGGGTAGTGAATTCCATAAGGATGGCGGAAAACGAGGGGGACTGGAAGTTGACAAAGTTCCATCGCGACGCTACAGACGTCAGCCAAGATGTTGAATGCGGTCACAAGGATAGCTTACCAGCATGATGAGGCTTCATTCCCTGCAGCGCATGGCTGAACATTCCCCGGCCATTCATCTTAACCTCTCCAGCCTTGGTGATTATAGAACCCTCAGCACTGGCTCTCGGCCAGAAGTGGTGGTGCATGGAACCCCACGGCTGCTTGGGGTCTGTGCCGAAGTTGGTTGTGCCGTTCTTGCCGCCCATGAAGCCCGGTGCAGTCCTAGTGAACTTGACGTTGACCAAGCTGGTCTCGCTCACCGCAGCCTTGATGGTGTAGAAAGAGCCATCCTCGGAGAGCTCGACGGAGACACTGTCCGCATGGAAGGACTGATGCGCCTCATCGAAACCGTAGTTGGAGAGGGGATTGCTTGCCCAAAGCGCGGGCTTCTCGTTGTTGGGGTAGAAGAGCTTGCAGTTGAACTGTGCAGTCACTCGTAGGCCGCTGTAGGAGAATGAGCATACACTCTTGTTACACTCGAAGGCTGTTTCTTACGCTACGTTGCTGTACAGGACCTGCAGCATAGCAATATGGCCATCCTCGGTGAAGATGTAAAAGCTCTGCGTCTCGACATTTGTGTAGTCCAGCGAAGCCCACTTGAGATTCTGCTTGGTCAACTCAGTGTAAGCAGGCTCTCCTGCATTCTTTCCGACAGGCTGCACAGCTTCAGGGCCGTAAATGGGCTCCTGAGTGCCGACGGCTGCGGCCAACCTGAAGCCCTGGTAAGCACACACTCGCTCAACGCGTCCACGCGTGGGGGACGCGGGAGGGGTTTACTCACGTTGACTTGGCCCAGTTGAACATTTTGCGGGAAGGCCGACGCACTATCCAAGAAAAGCAAATGCGTAAGTAAAGGCGGTGAGAGAAGCTAGCTCGGGGAGGACAGGAAAAACTCTTTGAAGCTTCTTGTTGGGCAGGTGGTAAAATTTGGAGTAGAGCACACGGCCGAGGAGCAAGTGCAACGAACTGTCGGTCGGGACACTTGCTATGGCAGTAGACTATGAGGTAGCGTGCAGGGCTGACAAATGGTGGCAAAGTAGGGACAAGCACTGAGAGGTCTGGATAGGTAGAGAGACAAGGACAACCCATCGGCTGCCCACGGCGAGATCGACACTAACCTAGCGTTGAGCCCGCCATGCGTAATCACCCGTTCGTTGAATGAAGACGGTTCTTCTCGACTTCTTATTTTACGACGTGCACACATAGTTACACCATCTTTTTTGCTGCCAGCCCGTTGCCGGTTTTCCGCTGCCCCTTGTGGCATTTTCCGAGAACGCGGATATCAGTCGTTCCGCGGTCCGCGACCTCATCTTAAGCTGTGACATCTCGGTAGCGCGGGGCATTGCTTGGACCGAAATATTTCCAGAGCATGACGATTGCGGCGTCGCAGCCAGGCACACAAACACCACACACGTTGCTATCCTTGAGCCTCCGCCAACGCTCTCTCCGAAGTCCCCCGGCGCCCTGATCGCGTGGGATCGAAGCTAGACAGTGCTGTGACGGAGTGCCGCCCTTTGGCCGATCACGCAGGTGCTAGCTACTCGGTAAGCCAGAGATCGCAGTACACTCGTCATGGTGTACCATACCATCGTCTGCAACTACTTGGGCTGACAGCACCCTGAGTAGACCCTGTCGCGACACGACCCAGCATGGCGACGACACCCCAGGAAGCGCCGCAGTCGGTGCGCTTCAGCGATGTCCACGAGGAGATCCACCCGGCGCAGGCGGTGCAGGATGTGGCCGGTCTTGCTGGCGCAGAAGACGCACCACGAGAGGGCCCATTGAGCCCCCAGGCAGAGGCAGAGCTGCGCAACCTTTCGTCGACGCTCCAGAAGGCGCGTCTCCAGACCAAGCGCATGGAGAACTTCTCGTATGAGCCCGTCTCACTGCCGCCCTCCCGCGTAAGCAGAGCTCCAGACACGGCCGTTGACACACAGCTAACACGTGCAAGGCCCCGTCACCCTCGCCTGTGTCTCGCACCGCATCCAGCCACTCGACGTCTCACCTCCAGTCCTCGATGCACTCTCCGCCGCTGACTCCAGCGGGCACATCTTCGCGAGACGACAAGCATGACGCCGCCGTACAGCACAGGAAGCTGTCCAGCGATCCCGCCATGATGACTCCACAGGTCTCACCCCCGCACGAGCCTCCGCCCACGTCAATGGACGCATCGGTGCACGAGCAACAGCCACAATCGCAAGCAGTGGCTGCATCTCAAATGCCCTCTTCGCGACCATTCTCCGTATCTGATGTGCCTGATGTAGTCCAGCCTCTCCCAAGACATGGCCCAACCTTCACAGTCGGCCCTGCTGGTGACTCGTTACCCGTATCCAGAGATGCCAGTCCTTCCGGATCAGCCGGAAGCCGCACCCCTGGACACCACTCGCCAGGCACAACCACTCCGACTCCAGTGACCTTCAGCCGTCCGTTCACGCCTCATGGTGATAGAGATGATCCCTACTCGCGCTCGAAACGTGCGCCGCAGCCAAGAAACCTCGACTCACTCGATGCCCGATTTATCTTTGGTGGTCGTGATAGTCGAAAGCGTAACAGCCATTCGGCATCCTCGTCTACCACTTCCCTGGCTGCGCGAAACAAAGGCAGCGCCTCGGACAGAGACGACGACAAGAGGTCCAGCGTATTTAGCAGCTATGGAAAGCCTTCGAGCCGCCATAACTCAGATATAGAAAGTGACGCTAAATCTAGCTCGGGTAAACATCACGGATCCATGTCGGAACTCAAGCGTTTCTTCAGGATTGGACAGAAGCACAAGGATAAGGACAAGAGCGAGAAGCAAGAAAAGTCTCCGGCGCCGTCTATCAAAAAGGCAAGGCCCAGCCGGGTGAGTAGAGCAGGTACAATGACTCCTTCCATTACTCAGGGAACGGCTAGCGTGCCTTTTGCCGACGACCATGGCCTCGAAAGCAAGTATGGGAAATTCGGCAAAGTCCTTGGATCAGGTGCTGGTGGTTCAGTCCGCTTGATGAAGCGCAGCAGTGACGGAACCACGTTCGCTGTAAAGCAGTTTCGAGCTAGGCACTCGTACGAATCGGAACGGGAATACAGCAAGAAAGTTACAGCCGAATTCTGCATCGGATCGACTCTCCACCATGGCAACATCATCGAGACTATGGATCTGGTAAACGAGAAGGGCAACTACTACGTTGTCATGGAGTACGCGCCATTTGATCTCTTCGCAATCGTCATGACTGGGAAGATGAGTCGCGAAGAGGTCAACTGCTGTACCCTACAGATCTTCAACGGTGTAAGCTACATTCACAGTATGGGCCTGGCTCATCGAGATTTGAAGCTTGACAATGTCGTCGTCAACGAGCACGGAATCATGAAGATCATTGATTTTGGCAGTGCTGCTGTATTTCGATATCCGTTTGAGAATGAGATCGTACTGGCGAGTGGTAAGCAGCGTCTGATATTGCTGTCACTACTATAGCTTACATGTTACAGGCATCGTCGGATCCGATCCCTATCTTGCCCCGGAAGTGTACGACCTTTCCAAGTACGACCCTCAACCAACCGACATTTGGTCACTTGCTATAATCTTCTGCTGCATGACGTTACGCCGCTTCCCCTGGAAAGCCCCACGAGTCTCTGATAATTCGTATAAGCTCTTTGTATCCCCGCCCAACGACGGGCCGAAATCAATTACTGGTTTATCCACCGGAGTACAGTCTGAGCCTGCGTCTCCTCGTCATAGTACCACGAACGACATCACATCTTCGGCGAATGGCCAAGCTGCGCAGCAACCCCCTGTGATCAAAGGTCCCTGGCGACTTCTCCGTCTCCTCCCCAGGGAGAGTAGACACATTATCGGCAAGATGCTGGAAGTTGACCCCAAGAAGCGTGCCACATTGCCGGAGATCATGAGCGATAAATGGATAGAGAACAGCCATGTGTGCTCGCAAGAAGATGGCGGCCGAGTCATCCGATCCCCAGGTCACGAGCATACACTCGAGCCCGGAGCTGGCGCTGCGCCGCCTCCAAATCCCCCACAGAAGAAGTGAGCTATTAGGCTTGTATCTTTCGAACTTTCATGATCCCCAAGCCATTTTGACATTACTTTGCGTTGCTGTGACAATAACTGCGGTATCGTCTTGTGTTAGTCCGTAGCGACTGAACATTGCGCATGCCGCTTCGAATGCTCGAAGACTCAGCAAGTCAAGCTGATCGGGTCTTGGTTGCTTTGTCTCGTATCAAATGTCCGTCTTTCTTTAACTTCTTCGCCCATACCTGGTGTGTGGGACTATTTTTATGTTGAAACGCTGGTTTGTTGGCACTTAGACCTTTGGCGTAGAGTGATCGTTGCGTTTCGAATAGACTAGCTAGCGGGTGGTTTCCTCCTCTACTTTACAAAAGCTATTATTCTTAATCAGAGCTTCGTGCAACCTATGCGGAGAGATGACTGCGATGTGAACTAGCTAGGAATGAGGCTAGACGGCAGTTCAGAGCGATGCCGCGTCGACAAGGTTAAGGCTGTTTCTTCCACTTTTCTGGTTTGCGATGTGTATATCTCTACCTATTGTAACCGCATACCATGTCTTAGCTGTACATTCTAATACCTATATCAACTCCATTATTACTGTTTGTTCGTGTCACTAGGATGAACACGCCGACCAGATCCGAGATACTCACCTTTTACACCCCTCTACTCCGACCCGCGATACCTCGCTCTCAATGACGATGTCTTGCATCAATTTCGAGCGCGATCAACGTACTACGCCTAGGTACTCGGCTTATCTAAACTTCAGCACGTGAGCATTCATCCCGGCTATGTAGTGACCACACCCATGGGCCGTTTTACACCTCTGCCTTAGTCGACGTTGAGCGATGGCCCTAGCACATGCACGTAACAGCAGCAGACGCGTCAGAACGTCAGGGAAAAAAACATAGCTGGTTTGAGTGTGCGTCACTGGTGGAGTGGATATACGTAAGGTTTTCCAGTTTGCAACAATGCGAGCGTGTGGTTGGCTAGCGGACTGGGCATGTCTAGCTTAGGATCGGCCTAACTTGGGATTGGCGAGCCTGTCATGTAGCCAAAATGTGATTCTTGATGCTATGGTGCTATTCGCCGGTGGGGTCGGAATGAGACGAACTGGCCATGGGGAGGAATGTGAATCGCGCAGTGCGAGTGGAGACAAAAGAGACAGACGTGCGTGCGTACGCTTGCAAAACACAGACAGACGCAAACGGCCAATGAGTCATTATGAAACTCTTGACTGTCTCCAAAATGCTGACGTTTGCGGGTGTGCGCGGGGCGAGCACAGCGATCCTGAGACTCGTAGGATCGTGTGCACGCAGTAGGCTGTTTCACGTCTGTGCGATCGCCTTTGCGTTTGAGGTTCGGGCTGGGGTTTGGGTCGGGACGACTCGGCTCAGGAGGGGTAGATTTGGGTCGCGGGGCTCGCGTGCAGTTGCCCAGGGCGTAGTTTTTTCTTCCTTTCCTGCTCGTCCTTGACGGTTGGCCTGACTAGATACCTATCTGTCTGTGACACAACATGTGCGTATGCAGTGCGAGGTGTCTTAATCCTGTGGAAAAGGTCCGATTAAGAGTTGGAAGATTGGGACGGATGGGGGTGTCGTGTTGGAACAAGTCGTCATGGCAGATTCATACACTCGTGTTTGTTTGTGTTTGCTACATTGGTAAACCTTGAGAGTTGGAGGACCAGGACGCTTCGTTCGCAACACGGCCATGCGAGCTGAGGGCAACCGCCCCGTCAACCAACCAGCGAACAGAAGTTGCAACCCACGCCCTAATCCGGCAGGGCCAGACTCCGTCGCACAGCAAAGAAACACCACCGCAGACAAGACGAGTGCACAAGCGTCTTATCTTTAGCTCACACCCGGCCAATGAAGCCCCTGACTCAACTCCCGCTCTCTGACGCGCAGTCTGGCGCGGCTAAGGGCCTGGTGAAGATCGCGGCCGGGCGCGCCAGGCATGCTAGTCTTGGCCTCCGGAGCCAATACATAGACACACATATCCCACCCTGTGTGTTTGTAGTTAATTTTTTCAATTTTGCCTTGGGAAGATTCACACTTCGCCTGTGTCGCCCTACCTCTTTAATAGTATTGTGCTGTTACGTTCTTGAATCAAGTGGCTGGACCCTCCCCTTGCTATACTCGCTCAACACAGTTTGTGTAATCCCAGGAAAGAGTGATCATTTATTGTGGTCGAGTGTTTGGATTGTCATATTGGAAAGAATCATGGGTCGCCAACTTCCTCCAAGTCATCTGAAAGTCCCGCCTGGCCCGTATGTTTTCCCGCAACGACACTTCATGGCAGATACGGTTCTTGTGAACTCCATTTCGGGGTTCGAGAAGGCTATTCCCACATTGCCTGGTTTGCCAGGATTGAGGACAAGTGCCAGTAAGTTCTTTTCTTCTATAGAATACTTGTCGAAGTTTGCCATGTCATTCGTTCTACGCAACTAGTGTGCTGACACTGCAGTGTAGCATTCCTCACATCGCTGAGTGCGAATCTCCAAATCGACCCAGACCTCCCCTCGCCATTGGGCACTCCAACGACCTTCCGTATAGATGGTCTCTCACACTACCCACTTCCACCTACACCGTTGTCTTTCTCCACGCTACCAGCAGCCTACAATCCGTATCCCTCGCCAGCAGCATCAGAGAAAACATATACACCCAAAGCAAAAGCACCCATCCAACCACCTACACAAGCTCTCCCGCAACTCTCCACATACACGGCCGAATCAGAAGATGACCGTGTCGAGGGTCTCCGCATTGTCGCCGACTCCGTAGCCCACCAACGCCAAACCGCAAGTAAAACGCTGGTATCCCACCCTCTAAACCTCGCCGCGTACCTCCTTATCGTTGCGATCGTCACATTATACATGCGCCATGATGTCGTCTCGCTCGGCACTACAATCGGAAGCCTGACTCTGATGTTCCTCGCTGCAGTGCGATGGATGACTATCGGCTACATTGGGCTCGCAGAGGATATCACCAGGGATTGGCTGGGTGGAGACAGACTTATCGTGGTGAAATGGGGCGAAGATGTTATTGGCGCGTTGGTGTTGGGATGGGCTGATAACGACGCGTCGAAGAAGCGGGGCAGGAGGAGGAGGGGCAAGGCTGTGGTGAGGGCTTGGACAGTCAAGTCAAAGTATCAAGGAAAGGGCGTGGGAGAAGGACTTTTGGAAGAGGCAGTCAAGGTTGCGGGGGAGAAAGGTGCGGATGGGATTGTTTTCGACGGGGAGCATGCTAGTGAGTGTCTTCTTTTACTGTCGCAAAATTACGTGGATCAAATGCTGACGTGTGGACAGATTCTAAGCGTATCCTACCCGCGATTTACAACGGCTTCCAGAACAAGCAGGAGGCCAAAGCAGAGAAAGCGCTACGAAAGGTTGCGGATGAGAAGGGCAACTTTCGCCAGCGTCAGTCTTCCCCAACTTGGGGGAGCAGATAGACCATGTGAAACCATGGAGAGCAGAAGTTGAGAGATTACAGGAACTCCAGGATTGGGCAGAATTCTGGTTCGATTACAGTGAAGAGATTTCCTTAAAAGATACCCCCATTCCCTCGTTGAGATACCCCACCCGATCGCTAGATATTTGCTCAGCATCCGGCGTCTTTTTTTTTCAATTTTCATTCTCTGGAGCTGGAGCTGGAGCAAGACATGGCCTAGATTCTTACACCGTAGAAAGTCCGCTAGAGTCCAATCATACCATTTCCTTGATAGTCTGCTGACACGCCTCAACCCCACATCCGCAATGTGAATGGATTGACTACTCGCTATCGTCCCGTACATCTGGTCATCAGACACCCCTCTACTTGAGGTCATCCAAGTGCCTTATCGCGCCATACATGGCGCTGGGAGACACTGATAACAACTGCATGGTCTCTTGATATCAGGCCTTGGCGCAGTCGTCCCGCATGACCCCTCCATCGCGATCCCCTGCCTCCAAGCTTTCTGCAAGCCTCACTTGCCAAGGTGCATGCACCGCAGTGGATACGAACATTAACGACACCACCTCGCACGCATCTCCAGCGTTGTTGAAAATAGGATGACAAGCTCGCTGTTCAACGACATGGTGGACAGCTCATCCGCACGAGCATTGCAAACTGTTGTAGGCGCATATACGAGGCTGTACAGAAGGACCCTCGGATCCGGTCTCTTCAACGCGCGCCAGCGGGATCTTCTGCATCGTCGTCCATGGATGATGCTGGGTACTCCTCGCGCAGCTGCTGTATGACTTTCTGCACCGCGTTGTCATTAGTACATGCAACGACCGAACAGAAGACTACGCCTCAATATCAAGCCGCGCGCTTCGTGATGCAAAGCTGCTGTGCCGTAATGAAGAATATAGCGTGAGATGGAACGTACCGCTAATGCTTCGGGGTTTGCGCCGTTCTCAATTAGTGACACGCAGTAGGAGAGCTGTTGGCGGTCGAGATGGGTGTTCTGTCTACTATCAGACATGCGAAGTCATAGTTTCGAGGTCGAGATGTCTTTGGGTAAGCGTACAAGCAGTGTTGCGATTTCATGCAGGATATCGATGACCTCGCGGGCTGCTTTCCGACGTACATCGGCGGAGGGCTGTTCGGCAGGCATTTTAGAGAGCGCCTTGGTCGGGTTGACGACACGATGTGAATGGATACGTTGAGTTGTGAGGTCCGTGTCTTATTGTTTGTTTCTCCACGTTCGCGACGCGACTGCCCCACACGTAGGATTACTTGGCGGCCCCTCTCTCACGATCCCCATCCGAAGCTTGAGTAGCTTCATGACATCAACATCTACTAACCATTACGATGACGCAGAACATTCCGTCAAAGGATATACTAACAATGGGAGAGGTACTTAATGGCGATCGTGTGCTCGTCGTATCAGAACCAAACTTGAATACTCACAAGATTGAAACTCACTGTAAACTTCAGATAATAAATCCAACCCCAACATAATGGCACCAGATCCTCATCAAGGAGGACGTCTTGAAGACATGGCAGCCGAAGGAACGACAATTCCTGGCGACGCAGGCAAGCAGAACCTGGTACGTTTTCTCTCCACATCTACCCATCTTTCAAGTCCGGCGTGGATCAAGCCCCAGTAGTGCCCTACTAACACGACCCTCAGATCCCCTCAGTTCCACGGCCTGACCAAATAAATCCCGACCCTTCACTCGCCCACGCCGACATTGCCCATGGCGCAGACAACGCCTCCGATATCCCGCGTAGCGTGAACGACCCCGGTCAGACTGGCGAGGTCCTCACCGGCACAGGTGATCAGATGAATTCAAGCATCGAGAAGAAGAACCTCGATGATGCGAACTATGAGCCAGGAGCGAAGGGCCATGATAGGGATGCGAAACATGCTATAAACAGAAAGGACAATCCTCATGACAGCTCAAAGCACGGTGCGAGCAGCCATGATGTGGAAGCTGCGCCTGGAGAGGAGGAGTTGGGACAGGATGAGTTGTTGGAGAAGCGGGGTGCGAAGTAGGATGGTGTATGGTGTGTAGTATATTGTATCTTCATGAGTTATGAATTATTTTCCGTTGCTTTGCTCGTTGCTGTGATGGTGAATCTTGATGCACGATGCTTCATGGACCCTGATTGGTGTACCCCGCGACAGGCTAATCCCACTTACACGTGCCTTTCAATTTCACATCTCGAACCCGACCACAGCCTCACGCTGCAGGAATTCGTGCCAGTGACGTGTGTATTGGCAGAGCTCTTCCAACATGGTGTACTACTTCTCTTCTAATACCGTGTCTCCTGCTGCCTTCATCTATGTCGGCAAAGACAAAGTCGAGAGTAAGTATTTTCCAATTCTACCGTCGCATATGCTCTGAAATATATGCTGATTTCGAGAAGACGAAGAGCTCATAGCACATGGCTGGGAAGAAGATGTCTGGTTCCACGTCGACAATCTTTCTTCGGCGCATATCTATGTTCGCTTACCGGAGGGTGAGGACTGGGATAAGATCACCCAAGAGTTGCTAGTTGATTGTGCGCAATTGACCAAGGCGAACAGTATTGAAGGTAGGTGTGTTTGCTGGGGCGTTGAAGGGCTGGCGATGGCAAGATTAGCAAGGCCAAAAAGGAGGGTGATCGACTTTGTGGAGATATGTGCTTATATATTGCAGGGAACAAGAAAGACAACATCACGGTGATCTACACGCCATGGTCGAATTTGAAAAAGGATGGGAGTATGGCCGTAGGACAAGTGGGGTTCAAGGATCCGAGAAAGGTGAGCAAAACTATCAGACTTGCTGGTTATATACGATGATTTTTGTTGGATTCTGCTTATAGAATGTACGACAGGTCAAGAAAATCCGCGTTGAGAAACGGGAAAATCCCATTGTGAACCGCCTCAACAAAACCAAGGTTGAGAAGTTTCCTGATCTTAGACAAGAAAAAGAGACCAGACAGAAGGAGCTAAGGACACGAGATAGAGACGCTCAACAAACCAGGGTGAGCAGTTCGTCCCAACTAACAATCTTCTTCCGTGCCCACTAATAGCTTCGAACTCTTCAACCTCATCATAGCCCAAACTCGCCATATTCATGCCGTGTCTTGCTGACTTTCACTCCAGCGCAAAGAGGAAGCTCGCATTGCCAAAGAGCGAAAGGAATTGGCCTGGAAGCGAGACCACGTCTACGATGATATCTTCACGGAAGACAACCTCGCCGAGTCTAGCAACCAAGACCGGGATGAGGACTTCCTTGACGACTTCATGTAGTCCGGATCCTTATGTTTTCTGCAAGTCTGGCCATCAAGCGTACCAGGGTGCCGTTTACAGTCTCAAATGCCACCACAGGAGCAATGAGTCTCATAGCGAAAGGCGTTTGGTGATGGTTCTAGTACGACATGGTACTTCAATTGGGATCGCGGACAGTCACGGAGGGGAGACACATGCCCATGCTTTCGTTCAACATGCGAATGGTATGGTTGAAGGTGTCGAAAGCGGTAGTCTTTATTTCAAGCTCTTCGCGAGTCCTGGAGATGTCAGTCTCCGCAAGCACACACAAAGCAGCGGTGGTATTCACAGTGTCCTCGCTTTGGGCTTTGACCGGCCTCCCTTCTCCTGTGCCCACCAGACGAATAATAGATTTTTGAGGATTTTGTGTTCCAGCCCGTTCTCTCTTGCTGCATATCGTAGAAATTCGAGTGTTGTCTGAATTTTCAGAGCATCGAAATCGACAGCAGAGCCTTTGCGAAAAGCTAGACGGAGGCGGTCACGAAGCGTGTAGCGCGCAGGCTTCGAGAACTGGACAGCCCTCAAGCCATGGCGATACAGGTGCCTGTAGGCACGAATGGTTGCTTCGCTGGACATTGCGGTGAATGCTGCAGAGACGCGTCGCGTGTTGATACGATTGCAATTGGGCATCGGCGAAATCCCGCGCCGGGCACAGACGCCACCACTTCGCTCACTTCACCGGCGCTTCCTCTTCCCCAGATCACCCCTCCTGCTTTCCTTCAGGGACCGGGGCCTGTAGGCATATTTAGACACATCTGACAGTTGTGCTCGACTTGTAGATACACGCCATCTGTACTAACCCTACTCCATACAGCCTGAGCGTCTGTATTGCAGTCATACCATTGTCAAACGCGATCTATGCTATTCGCTGTTCAACAGACATTATGACCAGAGTACACCACACACACCCCCAGCATGGGGCTCATCGCCAAGCGGTGCTCGAGCAGCCGCGCGCAGCTCTGAGAAAGAAGAAGCCGTACAAGATTGTGCTTGAAGCCGTCACGCAGGAAAAGAAGAAACTGCACTCGATCGTCCGTCGCCACCTGGCCAAACCATCGCACGCCCTCTAACAACTACACAGATTTCATACGCGTCGAATGCTCCCTCCGGATTCGGATTTGTTCCTGCTGGACACCCAGAAATTACCGAATGGTGCAAAGAGCAGTGTCGACAACGGAACCTTGACGTCCATGTTGTCTCGGTCAGCAATGCTCTGCTTGATTGTCCATGAACCCTACTGACCCGTCAATAGGCAAAGCCAAGGAACAACATGCACACTGATCCCCAGAAGCTCGCACACCACGTCCACCGAGTCGGACACCATTTTCCACTCGAGATAGTAAACCTGGCCTGCGCCAAGTTCGGCTACACCTACGACGATGTACACGGCCTTCGAAAGGACAAGGCCAGTGACAGAGGGGGCTGGATTGCTCGACATGTTGAAAACTACTCGTCGCGACAGGCCCTTCACGGACGTCCTACGACTGAGACGGAGACTAAGAACCACATACAAGGTGCTGTACGGGAACTGTTCCCCAAGATCCCTGAAGCAGATCTATCGGCCATTGTCAACCACGCATTCAAAGAGGTAGATTGCTATATCCATGTGCCCAGCCCCATACTTACTGCGTCAGGGAACGGACAGAGTAGGTAATGCAAAGGAGCTTCCGCTCGCTCGTCGAGTGCAGCTTGCTGTTGTTGCTCATATCCGTCACATGTACACAAACTACGACAACATCCTCAAGACCGACGGCTGGAAGGAAGCCAGACAACAGGTAGAGAGTCACTCGCTTGCAAAAATCAAGGAGTGGCGAGACGAGACAGGCGAGCACAGTAACGAGCTCGAGGAGACTTTCCGCGAGGTCATTGTTCTCGACGACGATGAAGAGTCTAGTGATGATGACAGTGCAATGTTTGACGAACGCGAACCAAGCATGGAGATCGTGTCGAGTCGAGCAACTGCACGCGAACTCCAACCAGAGCGATACGACAACCACCCTCGCATGGATCATCATCATGACATGAGGCGAGTACCACGAAGGACTATTGTAGTACAACCTTTCCTTCCTCCTCCTTCTCCTGCTCGTGCTGCACCATTCTACAGCGACACAGGTTTGCGACCTGTTCACGCACGTACTCAACCACTTCAGCCTGTTCAGGATGCTCGCATACCTATTCGAGCTGAGCAATTTCAAAGTGCTCACAGTAGACCAATTGATCCGTAAGTTGCACAAAATCAGGTAACGTTCAGGTTGTCACTCATACGTATAGACGAACGAGATCAATGATGTCTCAGCCCAGCTCAAGAAACACGCCAAACCTGATGCGTGATTCTGACGGGCGAATTTATCAAGTGAGTACGGGCGTTGCGCGTTCAGAGCCGGACATCAATGTTTCCCTTTCCAGCTAGTGACCATGAGCTAACTAGTGTAGCTCCAACGGGTTGAGGAACCTCGTGGCTCTCCGAAAATACGGTATGATCATCCAATTCACATTGCACCTCACGGTTCTGTGCAGGGAGGATATGCACCACCCCCATCTCGAAACGACCAGCTTGACCACAACCTTCGCAGCGTACCACCAGCACCCATATCTAGGCGCACGTCTGAACAAGACCTTGTCCTTCCCTCTGTTGAGCGTGAGACAGTCGACCTGACGTCCCCTCGGCGCATTGCAAATGGCCACCAACATACGTTTCCTGTTTCTAGTCCCCATGCCAGTGGAAAAATGGAGTTGCAGCCCGCCAAGCGGAAGTCATTCCCCTCTGGTGGCCACCCGCATAGCCGGGCAGAGTACACTGAGCAAAGCGCTAAGCGCTCAAAGCCGGGTAATCACGAGAACGAGGCGCCACGTCATCATGAATATCCACATGCCGGCCCTCCGCCTCACATGCTCATGTATCAGCCCATGGATGTACACAGCAGCAGAAGCAGCAGCAGCAGACCAAGGGGCCCAATTCTACACGATATTGTTGACCTAACTTCTAGTCCGCAGCGTCCTGTCATAAATCCCAACAGAGGCCATCATCATGCTCCTCCTCCTCCCCCTCCTCCTCCTGCCCGTAACTACCAAGCCGCTGGTCCTAGCCGTCCCTCGTACGTCACGATCCCCTCACGCCACTCGCCCCCGCGCGACGCGAGGGGTACGTACTACGACGCGACGGCTAGGGAAGCGCCTCGTGCGTACGTGTATGAACATGACAGGCCTCCAGTCGAGAGACTCGTGCCTGCATCATCATCATCAGCTCATGGCTATTTTCCCATGAGAGAGGAGCGGTCGCGCCCCCGTGTCCAAGAAGAACACGCCCGGTACCAGAGGCGCGAGCTGAGGTACTGAGATGGCGTTTTCGTTTTTTCGAGCGTTGGCTGAAGGCGTTGGCGCGGTTTTATACGCGAGATACCCCTCTTTTTCTTTCTTGTTTTTGTGTGTCTTGGGTGGTCTTTTTGTCTTCCCCAACGTTGGTATGTGGGGTTGTGTGGTTGGCATGAGTTGGCGAGTGCATGGAGAGAAGGAGGAGGAGTGAATGGTTGTGCAGAGAAAAGTATTGGGTGCGTAGGATAGGGTAGGATGATTTGAAGGACCCGAGCAGCAAAGCGCTTCTATGTGGATATGAAATATTCTGCACAACGAACTCGGTGTCTGATTGTCGTGAAGTGAGCCTTTTGAAGTCGTTCCACGATCAATGCACAGTCAAGTCAATGTGAATGTGAATGTGGACGTGGATGAACAGCTAAGAATCCATTGCAGCGCGAACAACCGCAGTCGTAATCGTCATCTTCAGTATATATACACACACCCACACCAACAAGAAGGGACAAACAAACAAACGATGTCCATGGTATATCCGCATCCGCATCCACATTCATAACAGCAAACAGAGTGTATCGCAACTAAACCTTCTCGTTATCCACAACCAACACCTCCGAAACCTCCTCCTCGGAATCCGACCCCGCGCGCCTCCTCGTCACAACCGCATCCTCCACACTCGCATAAACCACACTCCCCTTCTCCTCCACCTCATACCCAAAGTCGACAACACTCCACCCAAAGCGCGCAAACCTGTCCCTAACCCGGGGATTCAGCCCGACGAACCGCACCTCGGCGCCCTTACCCGCGAAGCGCTGCACGTCGACGACAAAGTCCTGCAGCGCCGTCAAGCCCGTGGCGTCGACGTTGTAGACTTTGCTGAGGTCGAGGACGACGGTGCGGATCTGTACGGGTTCGTGTTCGATGTCAGCTTTCCTGCGGAGGCGGATAGCGCGACGTGCGCCGGCGACGCTCCATGTGCGGTCGTTGAGCTGGGCGGTGGTGACGGGGGTGCCGGAGTTGTAAGTTTGGACAGCGTCGAGGCATTGGTTTTTGATGTGGAAGGCGTTGAAGAAGAGGATGGGTTGGTTGATGGCGAAGACTTGTGTGTCGATGGGGATGTGGAGGGGTTCGGAGTGGGGGTTTGAGGTGGGGGGTAGGCGGGTGATGCGGTGGACGCGGTGGAAGGCCATGAAGAGGAGGTGGTAGACGATGTTGAAGCCGACGGCGGCGCCGATGCCGACTTCGCTGCTGACGAAGAGGGTGAGCCAGAAGGCGAGCATGGCGGTGATGAAGTCGACGAGGGATGTCTTCCAGTAGCCGTAGAAGACCTTGGGGGGCACGACGACGTGCCACACGGCTGTGACGATGATGGCTGCGAGTGTGGCCTTGGGGATCCAGTACAGTGCTGGGCTAAGCTTGAAGATGGATAGGATGACGACACCGCCGGCGATCAGACCGTATGCGGGAGACTTGACGCCTGAGTCGGAGTTGACAGCTGTGCGGGACATGGCGCCGCCGACAGGCATGGAAGAGAAGAAGGAGTTGAAGAAGTTTGTGAAGCCGAGGTAGACGAGTTCCTGCGCGGGATCGACGATGTAGTCGTTCTTGCGACCAAAGGCTTTGGCAATGGCAAGGTGCTCGATGGCAGCAGCGATGAAGGGCGCGACCGAGCGGGCAAAGACCTTTTGGATGAGGGTTCCTGACGGCATGCGGGGTGCGTTGATGCCGTTGGACTTCACTTTGCTAAGTGCCCAGACGGGGTCTGAGGCTCTGTCCTTGTTCACGCCGTAGGAGATGCCTGTGAAGAGGATCAGGACTAAAGCGCTTCGACCCAAGGCAAGGAGCCAGATGGCTTTGTTCGTCTTGCCCCATCGTTGACCCATTTTTTGCATTGCGACGAGAAGCACGAGACCACCTAGCCCGATACCAACGGTTGGCCCGTCGTATTGTGGGATCATAGCGAAGATATCGTGGATGATGTTCGCTGTACCTGTTCTGACAGTTATGCCGAATAGCGAAGGGATTTGTCCAAGCATAATGACAATACCCTATCACGGGATTAGTCTACAAACTTGTATGTGTGTATCAGTGATTGTAACTCACGGCGGCGGAAATGAAGCCATTCAAGACAGGGATAGAGATGAACTCCAACAAGAAGCCGAGCTTGAGCATGCCAATAGTCAAAGCGTATATTCCGACAGACATGGCAACAGCAGATGCGATGACTTGTGGCGAGTACCCTTCAGAGGAGATATCGCGAATGATCTCAGCCGTCAGGAGACCCATGAGCGATGTAGGCCCAGTGGAAAGATCTGTCACCGTGATGAGTATAGTCTCCTTATAAACTCAATGCACCCAATTGACATACCTTTGGACGTCCCCATCATGAAAACGAGGAAATTGGGAAGCCAACTGGACATGAGTCCATACTCGCCGGGAATGGTTGCAATCTTTGCATATGCCAACGACTGAGGAATGAGTAGCACGCCGACGGTGACACCGGCGAGCACGTCGTTAAGCAGCCATCGCGGGTTGTATTTTGGAAGCCAGTGCACGACGGGTACTCTCTCAACTAGGTATTGGCCGGCAGCAGAGGGGAATGCACGAACAGCAGTACGGCTATAACGTGCTGTGCGATTGAGAGTGGTGTCAGTGCTTAGGGCATGCCGGGTGCGTTTGGAAGCGGACTTGAAGTAATCCATGATGAGAGAAGGCAAGAAAACAAAAAGAAGATAAATTTGCTATCTCGTAGACCTCCAGGGTGTACTTTCAAGCTTGAACGGTCTCTGCAACGATTTCAATTTCTCTTTGGAGCAACGAACGCTGGGATTATATGCTCGACAGCCACCAAGGCAGGGAGTGGCGTTTGAGCTGAGAAAGAAGCGTGATAACAACCCTGGAGGGGTTGAGCAGGGGATGCGGGATTTTGCACCTACCGAATTGCAGGAAACCACACCCTCTTGGTTGCAGAAGCGCATAAGAAACGAGCCCAGAACAGGTAATGGGGTAGTGGTGTCAAGGTACTGCCAATCAAGTTGACATTAGCTCTGCGTGCGGAAGCACCGCATCCGATAAGCAAACGAACTACGCTGCGTGCATAGTACTTCAAGGTTGACCTTCCCTTCCGAGAGATCCGCTGCGATGTCTGCTCTGCTATCCACCCACTGACGGTCCAGAGAAACGTGCGTAGAGCATGTAGATCGATAACGACGTTACAGCAATGTCAGTCATTTGAAACGTGCGGAAACACCAAGTCGGATGAGGAAGTGAAGTACATTCGATACTAAGGTATTTGTGTTCTATCTGCCGGAACGGCAGATGGGGACGCAAGCCAGTGAGGGGGTGTATGTTCTCGTGATACGAATGCGCAGGCCAAGATTGTGACAAGATGCTTAGCAGACGCCCGGCCTTCAAACACCTAGCAAGGTGCAGCTGCACGTGTATGTGACAGTTGCTTAGTCGAACATGTTGCTTGCTGGGTCGGGTTGAATGTGGGACCTGTGGAGCATGGCCTGTTCGAGGAAATTGCTTTTTGATTGCGTGTCTGACGGCCGGCTTTGAAGTCCTTCTTGATGTCGTAGTTGGGAAGTCATTGTTCTGCTGGTGGGTGCCGAGACGTGGCCCAAGCCTTCATAAAGCCTCAATGAGTCGAGAACCTGATCATGAAGTCTTTAGAGGGGTGGATTTGCATGGTACCCCGCAAATTTCCATGACACTGCTAGTTTCCGTCAGCCACCCGGTCAGTAGAAACCGGACGCTAGTTGGTAGGAATAAGCTTTGGGGTAAGCTTCGGTTAGCGGTTGGTCAAGAATCCTTGTATCCTTGTCGAAACGTCTGGTGCGGAAGGTGGGTAGCTTTCTTAGTTAGTCTTCGAGCGAGTGCATTATCTCAGCTTGATTTGGTGGGAAGCCAGATGCAGAGAGGGGGGCTTCGACTGCTGGGTAAGCTGACGACGCCTCCCCCTCTTGGTTCCACGACGCACGACGAAGGCCTGCCGTGTGCCAACCCTCGCACCCACCATGCCCGAATAAGCTTTGAGGCAAGCATTGGAAAGTAGTTGACCCAAGTACTCTTATCAACGGGCATTAATACGAAAAGGCTTGTTCAGATGTCGTTGTGTTGCCCGAGATGGCTCGATGTGGAAGGCAAGCACGGTGATCGGCCAGGTTGAAAGCTTGCGGTAGAAATCTAGATGATTCAGTTTAGCCGGATGATGATGGTGCCCGTGGTATCCGGATCTATTCCTGGTAGGTTAGTTTGAACAGATCGGAAATAAGAATGCATGCAGCCTAGAAAGATGGATGGAACAACCCCCTGCCGCCTTAACCGCTACCGTGAGATGTAGCGATGACGGCATGAGTGTGGAAGTAGAGGGTTGAGAGGGAAAATAGGATGGAAAAACAAGTGGTAAATTGGTGGATATATGCAGTGTTTGTGAATGAAAGACAGTGAGGTGACGGAGCAACACTATGCTTGGTAATGATGGGACAGATAGCAGAGTGAAAGTCGAGTGCACGCTGTTGGGCACGTGCGAGTGACGAGTGCTGACGAAAGTTTCGAATTGAGTCGGCTGCTGTGGTCAGAGAATACGGAATAGGAAGGACCAATGAGGCGGATATTGACGGACGCGGTCTGCATGCGACTGTCAGCGTGAGGAGAGCGACGAATGCACTGCGAATGGTTGCGTCAAGGTGGACTAGTTGAGCTCTCCAATGGATACGATGAATTCCCATGTCGCCGTATTGCCCAGTCTCAGCCTCAGTCTCAGCCCTAGCATGCGCCCCACCTGAGCTTGTGCGAGACCACCCCGCGTGCTTGGGGGGAGGCGTGGCTGGCAGACGGTGGTGAGAGGTGAGCAATGGGTCAACACGGCGAGGAGAGTGACGATGAGAGTGACAAGACAGACGGGTGCGGTGCGGTGGTACAGGGCGGGCAGGCGATGCAGGGTCGGGGTGAATGCTGCAAAGCTCCGTCTAGCGCGGCGTGGACATTTTTTGACATGGCGGCGCGACTCGACGACGGGGACGCGGCCACCGCCAGCCATCTCGCAGCATGACGCGCAAGAAGAAGAGCGCGCAGACGGAGGAGGCCCCGACGTCGAGCCCCCCGCCGCCGCCATGTGCAGCGACAGCAGCAGTGAACGGCAGCCCGGCCAAGAGCAAGAGCAAGGGCAGCAGCAGCAAGAAGACGGAGCCGTCGACGTCGGCGCTCATCATCTGTCGCAACAAGTAGGTCGGGCTGGCCTGCAGACACACCGAGTCTAACCCGCGTGACTGAAGGCACTGGCGCTACATCTCGTCGTTCCACGGGCCGTGGCTGCAGCTGCCGCCCGAGGTGCTCGAGTCGCTCGCCCACAGCAACTACCTGTCGCCGCGCCCGCACCCCATCGACCCGGCCGTCTTCTACGACCTGGTCAAGATCCGCAAGGCCGTCGACGAGGCCACGACGCTGGCCGTGCGCGCCACGAGCGGGCTGACGAGCCAGGCGCTGAGCAACTCGCTGCACGCGGGCAACAACGTGCTGGGCACCGCCGCCGCGCTGGGCATGGGCTACGGCGGCGGCGGCGGCGGCGGCAAGCTGAGCCGCGAGCGCAAGCACCGCATGCGCGAGCTGGCGACGGCCAAGCTGAGCCAGGCCTACCACCTCGACGAGATCGCGGCCAGCGTCGCGACCATGCAGAGCGCGAGCACCCTCGAGGACGTGGCCCAGCTGGTGCTGCAGCGCAACCCGGCCGACGTCGACGCCCGCTACGTGCACTTCTTCCACGAGAAGATCCCCAGCCGCATGATGGCCCAGTGCACCCCGCTGCACACGCTCGACGCCATCGTCGCCGACCGGCCCCACGACGCCAGCCCGCTGCGCACCCGCGCCCTGACGCGCATCTTCAAGGACGACTACCTCAACGCCGCCCGGGACCTGTCCGACGCCCTCTCGACGGCGCGCTACCTGATGCAGCAGCACCGCGCCGCCAGCGACCAGCTCGTCCTCGCCAAGACGTACCAGGAGCAGTACGGCCGCGACTGGCGCCACGAGGTGCGCATCCCCGACGACGACCAACCCAGCTCGCTCGAGACGCAGCTGCTGTTCCACCGCGCGGGTGTCTACTTCACCATCGCCTGCGCACACGTGCACGCCGCCCTCGACGGCCTGAGGCACGCAGAGGAGGCCAAGGCGAGGCGAGACGCCCAGGTCGCCGACGGAGCAGTCCCCACGCCAGAGACGCCCGACGAGACAGAGGGCAACCGCCGCCGCGCCGAAGCCCGCAAGCAGGTGCGCCAGAACGCCAAGCGCGCCCTCCGCGACTACATTGCCTTCCTCGCCCACTTCGACTACACGCCGGGCATCTCCCCCTCGCTCGCTGAGGAGTTCCTGCGCCGCCTGGGCACCCCCGCAGCCACATCCACAACCACATCTACATCCACAGCCACGACCAGCCGCCTGCTCGACGCCCCGACCCCCGCGGCGCCCCCCACATCCGAAGCCCTCGTCCCGCACCGCCGCCCCACCAACCCAGACCGCGCCTCGTGGCCCAAGCTCCCCCCGCCAGAAATCTTCAAAGTCTCGCAGCTCTTCGACGCCGTGCCCCCCTCCTCACTCCCGCCCTACCCCGCCCCGCCCGCCGAAACCGCCGCCTCGGCCGCCGCCACCGCCTTCGCCGACTCGCACGAAAGCATCACCTACCACCCCCTCCTCACCGACGCCCTCCACTCCCTCCTCCTCTGCCACGCCCTCCTCCAGACCCCCGCCAAGGAACACGCCCGCCACGCCCACAACGCCGCGCGCTGTGCCCGCGTCTGCGACGGCTACCCCATCTTCCTCGCCGCACGCTCCCCGGCCCGCGCTGACTGGATCGAAGTCCTGCGTCGCGCGGGGAACTGGATCGGTCTGCCCGCCTCGTGGGAGACGCTGTGTCGCCCCGCGCCCCTCCCCACTTCCAAAAACTCGTCCCCCACTGCTGCTGCTGCTACCCCCAAGGAATCCCCCGCACAGAAACGCGAACGCCAGAAACACGAGGCCATCCTCGAAGCCCTGGCCGACGAACGCGTCGTAGATGAAGACTCGTTCCAGCGCGCGGTTCGCGCCCGCGAGCGCCGCAACCGCGAGGACGACGAGGCGGAGAAAGCTGCCACCCCGCCGATGAATGGAAGTGCAGGCGAACCCAAATCCCCAGGCGCCTCTGTGCCGAAGCGATGGGCGCAGGACGATGGTCGCGAGTACCCTATCTCGACGGAGCGGGCGGAGGCGATTACGCGATGGGTTAGGGATGCGCCGCCTATTGCTGAGGGGTCCGGGGGTAGGAAGAGGCGTGCTAAGGCGAAGGGGAAGGTGAAGGGGAAGGTTGAGGCGCTTGGTCGGGGGGTTGACGAGGGGGAGCTGGTGGGGAGTGTGGAGGCGTTGGGTGGGCAGGGACTGGGGGAGGAGGTGGAATAGATTATGAATAAGAAGGAGTGAGTGGGTAGTTGGTCTTGGCTTCGGCCTCGACTTGAACTTGAACTGCAATTGAGCAATCGTTTTGTTCTTGCATATATATACCGTTTGTCATCTGCAGTCGTGGAAGAGTCTTCTTGTTTTGGTCTACGCTGGTGAAGATATCAATGACTCCACGTTAGTCGACCATCAAATCCACACCCATACCAGTGTCCAAAAGTTGAAAGATGGCAAAAAGAACCCCAGTAGATCCCGCCCCACGCCAAAACCCCCACTCACTCCCACTCCGAACATCCAGTAACCACATGCTCCGGCATCTCATCCCCACCCACGCCTGCCACCACCCTCAACACCTCCTCCCAAGCCTGCCGCGACTCCTCCCACGATACATCCCACTCGTTACTCAAATCAGCCTCGGACAGCTCAAACCCGTCGTCTTCGTCCTCCTCAACAGCATCATGCGGCACTCCATCCGGCTCAGAGTGATTGAGCAAGTTGCGCAGATCAAGCGCATTAGCAGCAAGCCAGTACGCGCGGTGGAACCTTCTATCCGCTGCCCTCTCCATATCCACGTCCCATTTCCGCTTCACCTGAATAGCCCCGTTGGCCTCGAGGAACTGCAAGATCCCGCGTATGTTGGGCGTGACCGTCATCCAGTGGATTTCGTTGTGCTTGTGCCAGAAATAGCCGTACACGCCGATTGTGGTCGTAGCATCAGGTGGTAGGCCCCTAGTGAAGGGGTTGACGGCGTTGTGGAGGACGATGAAAGACATGCGTCCGCCGTCTCTGATGAAGCCTCTTGTCGTGTGCGATTGCCACTTGTACTGCAGGTTAGAACCGAGGTTGGCTGTGATCAGGTCGTCGATGTAGGATTGGGCGAAGTCGTAGCCGCTTTGCTCTTGCAGTTCAAAGAGCTTGATGGACCATTTGTAGTCTTCGTATTTGGTCGCAATTGCTTGGGGGAGAGTGTCCCAGTCGGTTCGTGCTACAGGTATTGCATGTGCTGAGTACTCTGATGTGGCTGGAACTGAAACTTGCGGTGCACTGTGCGGATACGTCTGATGAACAGTAGACGGCACGGCAGCTGTCCAACCATAGTCGGCGTAACGAGGTTCGATTAATGGATGGTATGGTATGAACGAGTGCCGAAGGTTTGGAGGTGTTGTAGGTCCTGCCACATCCATCAGAGACACGTTCTTGCGTTTCCTACCCTCACCCTCGGCTCGTATAGCTGTGGTAGGAGGAATTTGATTTCGAGTTCGAGGTTTCCTACAAGGCGTGGGCTGTGGTGCGTGTGTCGAGCGCTCAGTTTTTGAACGTCTTCGTTCTTCGCCCTTCTGGCGAAATCTCTCTTGCTTTCGAAGTGTCTTTTTGTCGGGAACTCGCTTGTCTAACTGGCCTGGAGAAACATCGTACGTCTGTGTCTCAGTCACGAGCGGAACAACTGGATCATGCCCAACGAAGCTATGTGCGTTTCTTGTGTTCGGCAGATTGTTCGTCGGCCATTGTTGGATGGCTGGCATTGGAGCAGGTTGATTGGTTAGGTGGGTAGAACTGAGGGTTGGTGTGTTCGTTTTCAAGGGCTTGAGGACCGGTACGTAAGAAGACGGGGCAAGACCAGGGTGTAAGAGACTTCTCACCGATGGCAGTCGTGGATGATTCTCTGAACTGTTCGAAGTGTGTTGCTCGAAGGCAGGGGCTGCGGAAGGGAATGATCGTTTGTTCTGAAAAGAGTTGGAGGCAGATGCAATTGGAGGCGCTTGATAATGACTATAATCTGAAGGCTGTGAGACTGCAAAGTTGGATAGAGGCAGGACTGTACGCGACGTTTCTGAACGACCTCGCTGTTCTTTCGGTCTGTGGTTCAGTTGTGTTAGTGACTGTATATGTGATAAAATAATTTGCTGAACATACTCATGGTGCTCTTGGGCGTACCATTGTCGCAAGGGGCTGTACTCATCCTGAGGAAGAGTAGGGGGCCGATGGTGGATAGGATACTGATGATCCAACTGTCCATACGGAGAGATCTGTCCGTTTGGCGGATGGAAAGTGGTCCAGGGCGCAGGAAGGGTCGGTTTGTTGTCGCCACGATGGATATGGTCTTGGGGTGGACTGATTATGTGAGATCGGCCAGCCGTGAGGTGACTGCTCAGGTTAGATTGGTCGCGTGGGGTGTGAGCTGTGAAGTGGTCCGTGGCTGCGTTTGCAAGAGAGGGGTGGTCATCCGTAATCGGAATACGTCCTCGGGGCCCGGCAGGCGCGAGGTAGACTTCTGGTGGAGAATCCATGAGAGATAGATGCGATTGGTTCAGTCCGTGCAACTATCGGTGAATCGGCTCGCATGGTCGTCGTCAATGAGGTAGGCGAGTTGGGTTGTTTAAGTAGAGGAAGGCCTCGTGAGGGGTCGTTGCTGAGATGACTTCGGGGAAGTCGCGGTGAAGAGGTGAGAGAAGGTGCTGCCTGTGGAGTTACAACCTAGCTTTCGCCTTCACTGATTGTCATGTTAGCACCCAGTGTTTGTTTGGCCAATAGAGGAAAATCGAGCTGCACGTAGTAGTGAGAGTGAGAGTGACGCAGCGAGAGCTGGACTATGGTTGTTCTGCAGACGTGTAGGAAGTATGAGACGTAGAGATTGCGCGATGAAATATCTTTTCAATTCCTTCGACATGGATAGAACAAAGAAACACATGCCAGGTCATCTCTGTATCCTGCGCCCTATGATAACTCCCGCTTTTGTATCGAGCTATCAGGTTGTCCCTGGCATGTGACCGATCAAAAGCGCTTGGATAGGCTCCAAGCCAAGCAGACATGCATAGACTATACAAAACCTAACATTGTGAGGCTCCCGGAGCAGTCTGAAGTAGAATTTTTCGCCTATAGTGCTGTCCAAACTCCACCTACTACCATACTTGCCTTCTCCAGTCAACGCTCAGACGCCCGACATGCAAGCAAGGATGAAAGGATGCATAATAAACCTTACTACGATGATGCGGACTACAACGCAAGACCGCCAAACGTAACCAACAAAACCAGAGACAAGAGCTTTTACACAACACGCTTGACCTGCATGTATGTATCAGTATTTGGGGTCGTTTTGGTCTTCCATAATGTGCAAAACTCACCTCGAAGAACCTCTTCAACCACCAAACTTGGAATACACCCTGAGAAGCGAGAACAATGAGCTGGAAGATGCTCCACCACTTTATGCGCGCATTGGTGCTCTCAGCTGTGTTCCTGTGTGTTCGTTCGCGGACAACGATGTAGCTCTGCTCGTCCTTGACCTGTGCAACAAGTTCTGCCATCTGGCGGACTACAAGAGTGTCAGCATGCGTCCCCCTCCACCGAGTACACGTGTCCACATACCCTCCTTCTCCAAAGGATCTTGTGGCGCTTCTGATTCCGGAACGTAGACAACGCCGTGCACGTTGAAAGAAACCTCCTTTGTGTTGGAACCCCAATGTTCGTTGTTGAAGCAGTACGTGAATTTTCCGTCTTGCATAGCCGTGAAGGAGTGGTCGCCGGAGGAAACGCCGCGCTCGTGAACTTGGTAGCTGTGGGAAGGAGATTCGACCTGCGCATGCAGTCAGTGGTCGTTACGCTCGTATGTTTCACCCGGCTTTGAGTAAATTTGACGTACCCAAAAGTCAATCTCCAGATTTCCACTGCTGCCAAACTCTCGGTCGCCAACCTGGAAGGTGACGGTCATCTTGTCGTCCTTGTGGAGGGACTCGTGGAAGCATTCGCGCTGGTGCGCCTTCAACTGGATGTTGTGCGCCGTTGCCAATGACAGCAAACTGCTGGCCGCAGCAAAGAGACCGAGAGAGGGGAACAACATGTTTGCGATCGTCGCGGCACTACTCTGGTGTGGTTGAAGGTGGGTTTCTGGGTAGCCAAGTACGATTCACGGAGATGCCAGCTGTTGCCCGCATGCAAGGGCCTCGGGTGAACATCGGGCTGCGACTGTCTCGCGACATCGTCTCGTCTCAGTCCAAACGACGCGTCTTTTGACAACCTTCACTAAGGTACCGCGTCAGTGTAAAATACACTAGGTTAGGTAAAATTACACTGCGTATAAGGGTAAATTTATACTTTTACACTATATCTAGCTAAATTTACCTAATATTTTAGGTAATTTATACTAATATTAAAAGATTTATATACTTTATTACTTTTAAATTACTACTATATAAGAAATCTTTATAAGAGAAAAAGAGTAGAATAAGTAAAAATAGACTTTTATTTATAATTATTATATAATTATTACCTCCTTCTTCTAAGCCTTAACTAAATTATATATTTTAGTATAGTACCTAATAGATTAAATACTATATTAAAGCTATATTACTATAAGTAAACTATTTATAGGTAGCTTAAAATATAACTTTATGCTAGTTAATAATAAAAAAGCCTTTACTTAACCTAAATATACTAGGCTAGAAAATAATACTATTAGAGTTATACTTAGTAGTAAAGAGTATAATAATTAAGTTTTTACTATAGTTAAGTAAGTACTAAGTAGTAGTATTATTACTTAAGTAACCTACTATACTAGTATAATATAAAAGAAATATTATAAAGACTATATAGCTATACTTAGTACTAGTCTAAAAATTTATAATAATATAATATTAATTATTTATAGCTAGAATACTATTTAAACTATATAAAATACCTAAAGTAAAGATATTATAATAGCATATATTAAATAGAAAGAAGTAAGTCTTAACTAGAATAGCCTAAAGTTATTATTAGAAGTAGGCTATAGTTCTAAAAGTACTAGGTATTAGTAATATAACTATATCTAAGCTTACTTTATTTAGAGCTATAAAAAAACCTACTCTATTATTATTATATATAAATATATAGTTAGAAGGAACTTATTAGTAGCTATTAATATAGTTATCTTATAAACTATAATTAGTATTATTAATACTAAAAGTAGAAGGTTAGATTAAGGTTAGCTTATAAAGTAAGGTAGGTAAGATATATAGTAGATACTATTATATAAGAGGTAGTAGTAGAGGTCTTTATACTTATTACTATAAGTAGAGAGGTAATTAAGACTAGTATAGGTATAAAAGTAGGTAGTAACTAATTAATTACTATTTAGATAGAATATAAAGACTATAGATAATAAAGAATATAATTAAGAATAGCTATTTCTAAGTTAAAGAGATTAAAAGGTTAAAGTTAATAAATAAGTATAGATAAGTTAAAGTAGGTAAAGGTATATAAGAGTAAGGTTATATATATATAAGCTAAGCTATAGTAATATTTAGTTATAGTAAAAATACCTATAATTCTAAAGATATTAGCTACTTAAACCTACCTATTTAAATAGTATTTATTAAGGTTATAAGAAGAAAAACCTTATATAATAGTAGTTAGTAAGTAGTATTTACTTAAGCTATTATATAAGTTATACCTATTATTATAGCTTTTACTTTAATATAAGAAATACTAATAAACTTAACTATTTATAGATACCTAGAAGTTTATAATAGTAAATAATACGCCTAAAGATAATTTAATAATTAATACTTTATATTAAATAAGATCTACTTTATTAGCCTTATACTATAATCCTAAATACTAAGTACTAATAATAGTAATATTCTATATAATTCTTAGAAGAGGTAGAGACTCTATATACTAACTATAGTAAAAGTTAGTATAGTTATATATAATTATTTTATATAAAGTATCTAGTAGACTGCTATATTAACTTTATAATACTAGTTACTAAGTTTAAGCTTAATAAAAAGTTTAGAAGAAAGTAAGCTATAAAGTAGTTAAACTACTTAAAAGATACTAGATCTAAATAGAAATAATTATACCTACAGCCCTATTATAAATAATATAGATTACTTACTATTAATAGAAAAGTATATAGTAAAAAATTAAATATCTATACTACTTAACTTATTACTATTATAGGCTCCTTTATTATAGAACTTTATAGATAATACTCTATATAAGTAAAGTATATTATCTTAAGTAATTAAATATATTTATAATATCTTAGTTCTAAGTAGTATTAATATATATTAGCTACTAGTACTATATTATATTAGTATAAATATAGATAAGTATACTAGGCTTAAGGCTATTACTATAGCTATAGTAGACGTAGTAGTAGTACTACTTATACTTACAGCTATATATATACCTACTACTATAGTTACTAGCTTATTACTCTAATAACCTAAAACTATTAAGTCTATACTACTTAGTTTACCTATAATAGTTACTATAATTACTACTATAGTAGCTATAGTTATAGAGCTAGTACTATATTCTACTAAGTATAGTATAGATTTATATATAGTATTATATAAGGCTATATAGTATACCTTTTCTTAAGAAGCTACTCTTAACCTTTAAAGTAAAGTTCTATAGTATTTTAGCTACTTTCTTAAATAGTAATATATAAAGAATATCTTTAGTATATATACTAGTAAATCTTATAAAGTCTATAGTACCTAGCTAATATTCTAGTAGCTATAAAAAATATGCAATTAATAAAACTACTACTATACTTATTACTACTTTCTACTATAGCCTCCTTAATAATAGTAGGCTAAAGTTCTATAACTTTATATAAAATAAAATCTACTATTCTACTACTTATATTATAAATAATAAATCTATTATTAATTATAAATTAGGTATCTTATACTATACTACGTAAGGTCTTAAAGTATATAATATAGTAAACTCTAGTTCTATTATAATAATAATATCCTTAAGTTAAGGAAATTCTAATAAGTTAAAGCTAGCCTTTTTAATAGCCTAAAGTATATAGTCTTTTATAATATTAAACTAGACTACTAGTATAGTTACTACTAAAGTAATAGGTAAGAATCTCTAAAGTACTTTTCTATACTTTTTATTAAGATTCTTAATTAAATAAGCCTTTACCTATATAAGGAAATCTATATACTAGTATAGAAGTAATTAATAAAGTCCTTTAAAGTACTTTTCTATACTTTAAGTTAAAGTACTTAATTAAAAGAGCCTTTAGCTAAACTAGAAGATTTATAATAATATTAACTAGTTACCTACGTATACTCTAAGTAAATATAGAGAAAATCTTAGATATATATCTTATCTATTAGCTATTAAGCTAAAGCTCTATTCTCTAAGATACTATATTAAGCCTATAAAGACCTAGTTTATTTATTATATATATCTAAATTATCTATACTAGTCTTAAATATATTACTATTATCTTAGTTATTCTTATTACCTATAGTATTCTTTCTTATATTACCTAGGTTAGTAGGTATAAGGTAATTATTTTAAGATAATATAGCTTTTAATAATATTATATATTTCCTACTACTAGATCTAATATTAGATAGCTTAGAGATCTCTTTTATATTATTACTACTAAAGTCTTTACATATATTAAACTAACTATTAGCCTAGCTATATATATTATATATATTATATAAGGTCTATTATAACTTTATATTTAGTTATAATTGCCTTTTCTAAACTAATAATTTAAATTTCCCTAAAATTACTATATATTACGTAGTTATTAGAAAATCTATTACTAAAGAGTAAAATATCTCTAATACTAATATATTTTATAAAGTTCTAACCTTTAGCTATATATCTTATAAAAAGATATCTCTTATATTAGAAATCTACTAAGCTTTATATATATTACTAATATACTTACTAGCATTTACTAATACGTAGTTAGGTACTCTATATAGTAGTTAAGAACCTAGTTAGGTATCTACTTTATTTATAGGGCAGTTATCTTTAAGTACCTATAGTAATCTAGTATCTCTGCTAAGCTAGCTATTTTAGGCTAAATATTAATAATCTTATAACTCTTATAATTTTATACTAGAAAGGTATATAAGTAAAGATTTAATATTATTTAGCTTATCTACGCTAAACTAAGTAGTAGATATAGTAGTTCTATAAGAAATCCTCTACTCTACTAGAAGATAACTAGTAATAGTATTTAACTATTACTTTTTTAATTAGGATAGGTATTTCTATATTAGCTACCTATTTAAATTATATAAGCTATAACTACTAGAATATATACCTTTATTAGAGTATAAGGTTATACTGTATAGAAGTACTAAGTTCTTAAACCTATTATAAAGTTTAGCTTTAGGCTTATTCTTATATACTAGAGAAGTTAAAAATAGCCCTATATATCTAGAAGCAGAGCTTAATATTAGAAAGTATACTTTCTTAGTTTACTTATATATAAGTAGTACTATTAGTTAACTTAAGTTTAGTAAGTTACTTTACTCTTTAACTATAGCTATTCTATCTTATATCTCTACCTTAATATATTCTTTATACCTCCCCTAATAAACTTTAGTAAAATATTAAATATAGAGTAACTTCTTATATAGACTAATATAATATAATAATTTACTAGCCCTAGACGCCCTTAGTTAATAATTAATTAGAGGACCTAGGACTTTTTTATATAGGTTAGGTAACTTATATATAATTTAGTCTTCTTTCTCTTCTACTAGTCTTCTATATTAGTATAATAAATCTTATATAGGTCCTAGTAAACCTACTTCTTTCTACTTAAGTAGCAGCTTTCTTATAGTTTATTTATATTATTTATAATACCTATTTAATTAGCTACCTACTATTAAAATACTTAGACATAAATAGCTAGTACTATAATATAGTATTTTATATTATTATAAACTACTCTACTATAAGGTTATTAAACTTATAAGTATTCTCTATATACTATTATAAGTTATATACTAAATAAACCTACTACTTCTAATTCTTCTTTTCTTAAGCTATAATAAATTTAAGATAGTTATACTCTAAAATAAGAAGTTCTATATATATAGTAATATAAGCTACTAGAAGTTTAAAGTTACTTAATTTAGGTTAAGTATACTTCCTATATAGTTCTAAGATTATATATTACCTATATTTCTTACTATATATTAGAAGTATAATTTTGTCTAGTAAAAGTCTAAAAT